AATTTGCCATTTTTGCTTAACAAATAACTTAAATTATTACTAATAATATGATGAGATATGATATGGTATAACTTCAGCCTTAATCCATCATTCATAATAAAAACACCACAAAGTGATGGTGTTGCTGACACTGGAGTAAAATACTGGGTTCTTCCCAAAGAACTGGGCCAACGCATTCTTCACCCAGGCAGTGAATAGTTGAGTCACGCTGGCTCTGATGCTCTATTCATTCAGAGCAAATGACAAAAACTGTCTTAATGAAGAGATAAACTAAGTGTGTGGACTCACTGGCGGCAGCGGGGCCGGAGCTAGCTGACCATGTGTTTCCTGTCCAGTCTGGGGTTAGGAGCACAGTAATTAGGAAGATGCTAATGGGTCTGACAGTTCGGAGTCCTTGGAAAGCTTGAAATGTCGCTTCAATTAGACGGCACCCTGAAGACGTCTTGTGTGGCACCGTCATTCATTCCTCTCAGAGGTTGAAAACACAACCGTGCTCGGCCTGAATCTCCACATAATAGTGTTCTTATTAAAGCCTCACACCCATGACTCACATATGAACCCTTAAAGATGGAGTTTTTCATCACTATCTCCCGCAAGTACATCAACACCTTCAGTTCTTTCTAAACTGAGCTCTCCAGATCCTAAACATACATGTTTATTCATGCTGATTTTTAAAATCCAACATTATTTCCTGCTTGGTTGATCGACATCCTGATGGCCACGCTCACAAAGCCACTTTAATGTTGTCATTAGTTATGCTTCTCTGGTGGCCAAAAGATGGATCCTTAAGTCCCAGGATCCAATAGGGTTGTATATGAATGGTTGAAGGAGATAAACTACATCAAATAAATGAACGAAAGACTCAATCACTGATGGAAGACGGTGGAGAAAAAGTCTGTTAATTAAAAATATGAAAATGAACAAAATCTCTGACACAGTTTTGGGCCCATCTGAACAGCTACAGTCATTTTCTCTCCACCTTATAAGAACTTATTTAATTAACAGGAAGCTGAAAAGTATCAGAAATCATTTTCTGATTTATTTTCCTGAGCAGGATCTGTTTTTTTTTTTTTTCTTTTACTGAAGATGAAAATATTTTGCACTCATATAAATGGCAAGACAAATTTTTATAATTCTTACTTTATTATTCACTTGGTTAATGTTACATGGAAATTGTTGTCATGCATTACTTATTTCTCTTGGTTTTCCAAATGAAAACATGGTCTTATTTGCAGGATGCCTTAAGTAAAATTGACATTCAAGTTTCTTGTTTGACTAGATGCTTTGTGACAAATGGTAGCTGACCTGCAGATATGAGGTCAACAGCTATTTAAAAGTAGAAATTACACTTTAAAAACATCATAGTGTCATAAAGTTGAAAAAGACAAAACTATATTTTCTACAAGCACAATGAACATCTTTTATTTATAGAGTACACTGTTTGGCATTGGATAATGAGATTCAATGGCAATTTATGGTTATATTGAGTTTTACCTGACGCCCTTATATATTTATAACTTATTTATAAACTCGGTATATTAGTATAAGTAATATTTATTCACTTGTGTTCCGTCATAGCTTATGGTTGGAAATATGACATGTATTATATGGACGTGCTACTACGTATATGTGGGGAAGGATGCATGCGTTTGTGTGTGTGTGTGTGTGTGTGTGTGTGTCATTTCTATCAAAGAAAAAAATTGACTCTTCTGAAATTAAATCCAAACTTGAAAGAAAGGGAGCTAATGAATTTGTAAGAATAAAATTATGCCAATATGAAAGTGAAAATATTGTTTTCTGATCCAAAACCACAAAGTGAACAACACATTAGACTGAGAGCAGGATTCAACAACTCGCAGTCCAAACTTTGATGAGAAAGCGACAGCCTTAATTGGCCCTTTTCACACATTTGACATGTCAGCAGCAACAAACAGGTGTAAATAATAAAAGTAAGCCTGAAGTTAGGTTTCAGGGTTCCTGGTGTTGTGCATGTAGGTGTTACACTGTGTTTTGTGACCCATCAGATTGTGCAGCCTGATTAGGTATTTCATCTACATATATTTTGCCACTGCATCTGTCATCAATCATAGTGGCACCACAGTATTTAGACAGGGTCACAAATTTTGATACAGTAGCTGGGATGTTGGTGTACTGTCAGATTCTGTGAGACTCGAGGATCAGCTGTATGAAAAAAGCCAAAAACATGTTGTGTAGACAGACCTGCACACTAAAGTTTGTGTTATCACAGCCATCAAAATTTTCATATCCAATATCTCAATATATAGGTCACAATTTTTGGTTAACAGCTATATCAAAATGTGTGAATACTACTGGGGCACCATTTTTGCCAACAGGCCTACCTATCAAAATAAAGTACATAATTAAGAAAAATGCAAACACTTGAGTAGAACAGAGCCTCTATTAAGTCATGAGTAACACTGGTTTAGTTTTCCTATTATAACAATGTGAAAAATGCTTATATCACCTGTTTTTAATTGTTTTATTTTGAAGGATCACAGTCAGTAAGTCACTCTGTCAGAGAGGACTTTGAAAGCAGCCAGAGATTAAACCTAAAGCCATCTGTGGTTTTAATAAGTACACTATATTACACGCTGCCAGGGGCTAAAACTGCATTCTGAATAAAATGAAGCCACTACATTGTTGTGCCTTGGTATAAAATGATCAGTTGCTATTGATCAATAATTTAGACAAGTGCCAGATTATTGACAGGGAGACAAAATATGTTAGGTCGGCTGTGTTTGAGAAATCCCCCCCCATACACTCAATCACTGGAACAGAAATTGCTGCATGGTATATAAAAACACAGCGATGTTTCTTTCCCCCCCTGCAGATCAATGCTAATTGAAGTCCTACATGATGAATGTAGCCTGAAACGTTTAACCCACTGCCTGCTGAACAGCAGCAACGACGGGCCACTGAACACTTGATCTGTTTTTATGCTGATTGTTATAGTTGAAGGTGAGACCAAGAAGTTACAGTTCATTGTTATAATTCCCCTTGTAAGTATTATGAAACAGGAACATGAGAGCATGATCTTTTTTGCATCCTGTGTTACTTTAAGGAGGCAAAGTCATGATGCCAACCAGACCCTTTACTATTTTATTCTTGCTTATTCTTGTTTTAAGACACCAGAAGAATCTTGCTTTTGTTTGTTTAAATATGAGCATCTACTGCGTGAGTCGCTTCATGAATTGAAATTTCAAGATTTACTTTATACTGCGATGTTTCCTCGGAGGCACACTGGTACAATATGATGATCAGCACGGCTAACAGAAGGAAGCCGGTCGATCCCTGAAGCCCTCCAAAGGCAACTCTCTGTTGGTGCAAATTCAGCTTGTGGACAGCACGCAGCAGATGGAGTAAACCATGCCATCAAGTGGAAAATAGACCTGTTGTGTTGTCACAGAGACAAGTTACAATATAGTCTGCCCATCAGACCACCAGAGGAAACTGTGAGAGGGATTTTTTTCCAACACATAGCTGTAGCAACAAGGGGACACATGCATTCGTATTGTGCACTCACTGCATCAGGTGGTAACAAGATCACAAAGCTGATGTTTCTTTTCACAACCTGCCAAACCGGTCAAACATTAGACTTTTTCTCTGAATCTTAGAGGAAGAGATGAGATTTTTGGCCTCTTTGTGTGCTCCGGACACTGGATCCTGACATATTTAATATAGCAGCCTGGTTCCTGGATGTACTGTACTTTATAAGTAATACAGCCTCACAAGACAAGAGGACTAAAACACACAAATATCCTGACTCATTGCTGCCACCTTGTGTCAGTTTAAGCCATAAACCTAAAGTGCAACCTAGTGACTTGACTACACTGGTGCAATTCTTTGACAAAAAAACCTCTTCTGCTTGACGGTCAAGAATATTACAGGAATCCTGATTTCTTGTTTATAGACAGATACACACCAACATCCTTTCCACTGATAGAGAAGGATTTTGTTAGCGCCTCTCAAAGTTTACAAATGTTAAATCTTTTAAAAACAGTAGGAAACTTCAACATTGTTACTATCATTGAAGAATACTTCTTACTGCCTTATAATACTGTATCCAACACTAGGATGCTCAAAGTGCCACCCACCTGCAATAAAAGTAAACCACATGTCGATTACATCACGGCACCTTTATGCATCTTTAAGCAGAGGAAAACAATCATTTCTGATGCTGTTGTATTACACAATTTAATACTTCTTATATAATTCATATTCTGTGCTACAGGGAAAACAGTATTTCAACACAGGTACTTTTTTTTTCTTACAAAATTCATTTCAAAGGCTTAAAAGAAAACAGTCATAATAAATTCCTATACTTATTTCAAACACGTACTTGGCTATACAACTATGCTTTTATTAACAATGTAGATTTAAGGGTTGCTTCACCCATACCAAAAAAACAAAAACATTCCCAGTAGCATCTAGCCGTACAGATAGTTTTAGTGTAACGACTGTTTTCAGGGGGTAACTGTTTAAAAAAAAAGTGTTGACAATGAGGTCTGTGGATTATCCTGAGGATCCAGGACATTGTTTCTGGAAGACACATGGTCAGCAGTGATGGCAGGCAGAAGTCTCAGTAGTGGAAATAACAAATACAACCAAAGGCTAGACAAAACTAGTGGTAAGTGAGAAAATGTTTGGTGGGGAATTGGGTGAACTGATCTTTTAAGTAGGCACACATACATGCAAAATGAAATGTTTAATTAAACTCAAACGTGTTTAAATGTTTCTAAATGAAACATAACTGCTTTTTGCAATATCATACACACACAAAGTACCAACAAAAATAATACACTGTACTTTGGTTAGAATTGCTTTTCTACAACACCGAATGATTTAGAAAAAGTGCAGTGACATCTTTTGGATATGAGGCAGCAATTCTTAAAAGTACATGGCTTTCTTCAGTCATTTACAAATGTGGCATTATTTTCAGTTCCATCTTAAATATGAATCTTTGATCAGATCCCAGTGAGTTGTTTTTTTTTTTTTTTTTTTTTGTCCACATTATTTAGCTGCACAAACGTGAGCGCAACACATCCAGATCTTCCTGGATTGTCTTGACATATTCAGAGCAACTCCTGTGCCCATGTGATGCAGCTGAGAGTGATTGCAGTTATGAAGATAACTGTAACAAAGACAGGCAATTGTTGATTACAACTGATTGACTGTAACTGACATTATCTATTTATCTTAGTAATAAATTCACCGTCGTTGAGTTCTGGCCCTGTTTTGGTATCTGACAGTCAGTTTTGGATATAAACATGTCATAAGCTCATACAGTAGATATACTGCTGATATTACCTACCTGTGTTGGGCAGACAGATGGCCCTTTGGTTATATCTGGAGATTGATAAATGGAGCGAACCCCAGCACATCCTGAAGAAGTACCAGAGCCCTCTGTAAGGGCGGCTCAACGTCTATCACAACATTGCGCTTCCGTAGAGGATCGAGACTCGACTCTGTCACATTGTGGCAGTGATTCACCTTCAGGGACTGCAGCTTTGGGCAGTACTCTGCAAGAGTCCTGTGAGCACAGCATGCAGAGGATATTATGGAAGAGCGCACAAGTGAGGTGATGCTTGTCAAAGTATGGGCACAAAGTTAGTTGGATTTTACTGGAAAATAACATTTACCTGATGGACTGGTTCCTGACCCTTAGGCAACCTGTCAGGTCCAGCTGCTCCAGGCCCCTGCAGTTCTTGGCCACCTCCTCCACTGACTCGTCAGTGACGTTGGCATTGACTGCCAAAGATAGAGACCTCAACTTCAAACACTTCTTGGCCAGGTAGCAGATGGCGTCGTCCTTGAGCTGGCGGCAGGCTGTGAGGTCGATCGACTGCAGCCCCCCGCAGTGGTCAGCCAGGCTGCGCAGGGACAGGCTGTCCACCCACTCGCAGTGCGCCAGGCCGAGGTGCTGGAGGTGCGTGCAGCTCAAGGACACGGCCACCAGGGAGTGGCGGGTGAGCCAAGCACACCCGCTCATGTCCACTCTCTGCAGATGCTGGTTCTGGCCAAAAACTGGCAGCAGCTCCTTGTCTGTCACCCAGTCTGAACAGTTCTGAAGTGACAGGCTCTGGAGAACTTTGTTGTCCTTTAACATGGAGCAAAATGCTTCCTTGGGAATGCATGGTCCAATCTGTGATATCAAAGACCAGATAGCAGACGTCCTCAAGTACTGATAATATCATTCCTCTCAGTATATATAGCAGGATATCAAAAGCACTGAATTCAGTTCCCTTGATAAAAGGCCTTAGAAGGTATTAAAAAGTCTTAAAATTTATTTACAAAGGTCTTGAATATTGCTCCTTGACAACTTTCAAACTTTTTTGTGTGGTTACTATCTGTCGGAGACACATTACTAAAGGCTTTTTGAGGAGTTCTTCTGTATTATTACTATGTATCACTATTATTACTGCTAAGTATCTTTCCTGAGAGCTCATTTTTTTGCAAAACACTTAATCTACCATCCTTTATCTAGGGCCAGGTCACCTTGATTGATTGATTGATTGATTGATTGATTGATTGATTGATTGATTGATTATATTACTAAGACATTTTATAACAAATACAATTAATAGATGTATGTAGGCCTTGTTTTTCAAACCAGTTTTCTGTCACTCTTTGACCAATATGACAGTGAAAAAAGGTATTCCGTTTCATTCTGCATTGCATTAAAAGAAAACAAATTAAAACAACTTACCGGGGACAGATCGAAAGTCCTGCAGTTGGCCAGATACACCTGGATGAGGCTGTGGAACTGCTTGCTCACCCTCTGCAGGCTGACCAGGTGTTGCAGCGGCAAATAGCATAAAATGTGTGGAACAAGCACATCTTCCCAGGGCAGGTCTAAAAGATGGCATCTGCTGAACAAATGCAAACCTGTGCGTTTACAGCTGAACTTTGACACTGCATGCAACGGTAAAGCGGTTTAACGGAACATTAGATGTTAAAATATGCTTTAAAAAGCAAGTTTCATTACATTTGTAATGGAGAATTTTAGATCGGCTTTATCACGGTGATATGTGGAGCGAGGTCAGCTGCCACAAATAAATGGGACAGCTACATTTCTCGGTGACTTGGATGTTGTTGCTATCGCTGTTAGCTGAGAAGCTAGCCTGCCGGGGCCACCAACCCAGCTGTTTTTTAATTAAAAACTCCATTTTAAAAGGGCACTTACGTTCGCATCTTAGCTTCTTCACCCATTTTGACTCGGATATATTATACAGAGTTTTTCAGGACGTGTTGTTCTTCATATAAACGCAAAAACAACGTATCTTCCTTTAGCATCTTGCAGGCGTTTGAGGTGTTGCCCAAACCCAATGCTGCCTTCAGGTACTATCGGGAGAATCTGGTGTAAAGAAAAAGTCAGGAATGGTACAACGTTGTTCATTTTACAAGATTTGTTGTGGGGGGGTGGGGGGGTTCATAAATTAACCCACATATAACACGAATTTCCAAATATCCAAAAAAGGGAAAAAAGAGAAAAAATGGTTTAAATGCAACATTAAAGAAAAGCATAAGTACAATAGAGATGATACAAAATAAATCATAAGCAGAATGTACAAAGCAAGCAAGTGTAATGCATAAAACTGAAGTGTGACAGGACAAAAAAACTAAAACTTAAAATAACTGAGCATGCAGTTGATGATAACCAAATTTGGGCGTGTAGAGAAAATGAAATCCAGAATTAATGGTAAAAGTGATACATATCTAAACTGATTTAATAAATGATGTTATCTCTGCTTTTTAGGCTGTTTTCTCCCATTCATTCTGTTGGTAAAGTAACCAAGTTGTGAACCTCTTGACTTGATTATAACAGTAAATGGATGGAAGCGTTGACGAGGAACAAGTGAACGCAGCAGTTGTAATTTTCCGGGTATACGTCAATGATTATGTTAAAGGCGATTGACATAGCCTATACGTTTGTTATAAGGATTATAAAATAAATCCTCTTATATAATGAAGACCTCCTATACTACGATAAACGTGGATTTGCTGGTATTTCATTAAGGTTTTTAAAACTCTACAACTTTATTGACAAATAATGTCATCAATAAACACATTAAAGTAGAAAGAAATGAAGAATGAATAAATGAAACGGGTCAATGGAGTAACTTTATGCCATGATTTCATGTTCACAGACAATGTTAAGAATTGAGTTTTATTATAAATCCGACACTTGTTCAGTTGTAAAGAGGAAATTATGCTGCAAAATGAGCCTGATCTGCTTCAGGCGCATACATGTTTATTTTGAATATTTGATTTCCCAATCCCAATCAGCTGCCACCATTTTACCAGCTACTCCTCCTGGTATACATGTGTTGAACAACTGACCACACTGCCAGCTCACCTCTGCCCAGAAGAACAATGAAGTCAGTCATGCTGAACAATTGCTGATCCATGAGTTATGTCCCCGTGAATGAGATGAGCCAACAGGATAGCTGAGTGAATACTCACTCTTGACTGACTACAGTACCCTACACAAGCTAGAGTACAAGCATGGCGAATAAATCAGTCTATGATTTCTCTGCTGAGACCCTGGATGGACAGCTGGTTCCGCTCAGTAACTACAGGGGGAAGGTGCTTCTCATCGTCAATGTTGCCACCTTCTGAGGGTCAACAATAGAGGAGGTAATAATCTGCAAGAGCACTGATTGATTGCAGCCAGATCACATAATCTCATAACACATAACCCGTGCTGTCATTTTTATTAGTGACATTTGATTTTGTGTCCTGCTTCCTCAGTACCACCGACTGAATGCACTGATGGAAATGTTCAGCGACCTCAGCTTCACTGTCTTAGGCTTCTCCTGCAACCAGTTTGGTCTTCAGTCACCTGGTAGGTACACTGAAGCTTTCGAAATGTGACAGTGTATTAGCCTGGTGGCATACTGTACCAAAAGAAACTCTGTACTGTTGTGGACCCTTGACACGATTTTTTTGCAGTTCCACCAAAAGTGATTTCCCATGTAAACTTCAATGTCTGTTTGGATTCCGTACAAATTTGTGTTGCTAAACTTATTCTTTCTTTCCTACCTTTTTCATGTTATGATCTTTTTAGGGCAACTACAGTATATACAGTAGGTAAAACTAGCGCCGCCATGGCCAACTACAACAGTAAAATGCTCCTTATGCAATTAAACATCAGCAGTCTTTTGAGTCACTAAGCCATTTTTCTGCATTAGTACTTTTACAGTTTATATTTTAAGTCCATTAGCTGCTGATACATTTGTACTTTTTCTTAAGTAGGAATTTGAAAACAGGACTTTTATTTGTAATTTGGTGTTTTAACATTAATGTGTTGGTGTTTTTACACAAACTAAAGGATCTGAATAGCCTACTTCTCCACCGGTGACCTACATACTCACTTTGTTTACAGGCTCACACCTACATTTGGCAAATTGTTATTATACATATTGTGGTTTTCATGAGGCATATGTTTAAAACAGATGAGAAATAACTTTTTTTTACCTTAATATTTTCAGAGGTTAGTCATGAAACCCTCAATATTCTGAAGTATGTGAGACCTGGCGGAGGGTTTGTGCCAAAGTTTCCTGTCTTTGGTAAGGTCGAGGTGAATGGATTAAATGAAGAGCCTCTTTTCACCTATTTAAAGGTAGTGTGTTTTACTTAGGATTAGATTGATGGATGAAATTATTAGTCACACTATATATTTTTCCTGTCAGAGCTGCAGCTGTTGCAACTGTCATTTCTGGTTCGTCACAGGAATCTTTGCCATTTGTGAACCCTGTTATTGGAGATATAAAGAAATTCTACTGGTCACCAATCAAGGTCAATGACATTCGGTGGAATTTCGAGAAGTTTCTCATTACTGCGGATGGCATGCCCTTCAAAAGGTAAAGTTATTAACAAATATCTCAAAAAGCACTCCTTTAGGTTTAACAGTGGTTTTAATATTACTGTAATTCTACTGTCTTTCCTGTACTGCAGGTATGAACTTCACTGCCCCATTGAGAAAGTGGAGAAGGACATAGCAGACCTTCTCTGATTGACTTTCTTCAGTGTAACACCAGTGGCAGAGTGACGATCCCCCAGTAAATGCACATGTGCACCTGAGCTGGATCTGATGGGAAGAGGAATAGGACTCGGAGCTTTAGTGCATTCACTCTGAGAAATGTTCCCTTAAGCCACCGGAGGAGTTTTCATATCGCCATCACACTTTTCACTAATGTGATGGGGTCTGCTATTCAAAATGAATAAAACACTATTAAAAAACCTTCAAGAACTTATGATTGCTTTTGTTGTCACTCCTGAGATTAATATATCAATGTATTTGAAGCCTTTATTTAAGTAAAAGTGCCAATATAACAATGTAAAACTACTCCATTACAGGTAAAAGTCCTCCAATGAAGACCCCACTTAAGTAAAAGTTAAGTAAAAGTATTATCAACAAAATGTACTTAAAGGATCCATATCTGTTTCACCTTTGTGACTGATTTATTATTATTATTATTATGATTATTATTATTATTATTATTATTATTATTATATAACTTTATTAGTGCTAGTGGAGCTAGAATGAGCTACTTTGCATACAGTTAGATAGTTTGTTCCAGTGGGTCCAAACCCAGGGGTCAACATCTTCCAAAAGGTCAAGGAAAAACCTGAGGGGCTCTGAGATGATTGATGGAGGGGAACAAGAAAAAAAAAACAAAGTGATACACAAAGCTGTTGTCACTGTTTGGACTTTTGGTTCGTCTTTGATTATTTGTGTAATATTTGAAATCAAGCCTTGTGAGAGGTGTAAAGGGTAAATGTCTCTTTGTTGAGACTGCTAACAACTCATATGCATCTGAAATGAGACACAACTCCACATCTTGTTTTTATAAGAGTACTTAGATTTTTTTATTCATGAAAATGTTTTTTTTCATTTATTTAAGTTTTTATTTACACGTTTCCCCCCATTATTTACAGTAAATATTATATAAACGCGTATGATCAGATGGTCCATGTGAAATTGGTCCTTATGTCGACCTGTACTTCCAACCTTGCGCATGCGTGTTTCTTATTCTGTCAGACAGCAGCAGCCAGTAAACATGGCTGGTGTTGGTTTCCGACGGTTGGCCCTCGCTCTCTCCAAAGGGAAAGGGCCCGGCATTTCAGCCCTGCTTTCGGGATGTAGAGCGGGTCAGTAGTGTGTTAGCTTTTTTATTGTGCGGTGTGATGTGTTTCTGTGGAGATGCGTATCAAAATTTAAAGTTAAAGCCTCGAATGGACATAACCTTGACATGCTAATGTTAGCTTGTGCTAGCAATGGAGCTATTCTGAATGAGAGTGAAGGCGGACAGAATAACATTGTTGTTTCTTCATTTCATTCGCTTCAGAGCTTTATAACTTAGACCTTGTTCATTTACATTTGCATTTATTGGTGTTTCAGCCTCTGGTGTGTCAAAGGATAGTCTACCTGGTCCGTACCCGAATACCCCAGAGGAGAGAGCCGCTGCTGCAAAGAAGTACAATATAAGGATTGAGGACTATGAACCATATCCTGACAAAGGAGAGGGGTGAGCTTTACTTTGAAAAAACACATTAGTCTTTTTAAATGCACTTGTGCGCGCAGCACATTCTTAGTTATTTTTCCCTAAAACAGACAGCATTTACTCAGAAGAAATACATAAGTTATTGCATAGATAATCATTTGTTATCATTATGTCTCGGTAGATTTGGTGACTATCCAAAGCTACCAGATAGATCTCAGCATGAGAGAGACCCCTGGTACCAATGGGACCACCCTGACCTGAGGAGGAACTGGGGAGAGCCGGTAAGATACTGATGATTTTATTTCTTGCTACTGGAATTATTCATGTTTGTATAGTGTATTACATGTATTTTTCTGGGACCATGTACAAAAACTTTAAGAAGAGCCAAGAGATGCTTTGTACCAGACTTAAAAATAAAAAAATTATTACAAAATGATATTGCCTACGACTGTTAATCAGCGATTGTTTCCTGTCCATATTTAGATGCACTGGGATTTTGACATGTACATCAGGAACCGTGTGGATACATCTCCCAGTCCTGTCTCCTGGTCAACAATGTGCAAACATCTGTTTGGTTTCATCGGGCTCATGCTGTTCCTGTTCTACGTTGGGGAGAAAATGCCGTCCTACCAACCTGTGGTAAGTACAGGTCAAGGCCTCAAGCTCACTACGCTGGCTTGGGAAATTATTAACACAGGATCTGGGCCAGACAAAAGCAATTGATGAAATTTTAATATCTTATTCCTCTACTTTTTTATGAAAGACTGCATATTTTCTTTCTCTTTTTACCTCCTACATGTGTATTGGTCATTAACATTCTGAATTGTGCCTTAGATACAGAGGTATAATCACAATGCATATCTGTGTCATTTGCCAAAGTCACTCCTCACCAACAAATTCAACATTCCCTAAAATCAGAGAAAATTGTGGGATAAGTGTAATCTCTAAGTGGTTAATGTGGAAATGCTGTGTGATTTCTACCAGCATTTAGTCTTTTTAAAGGTGCACAGTTCTTCCAAAAATCTGTGTAATTATGCATGTGAGGATAGCATAACAGTGCTACGTTGTCCTACTTCTTGTCAGTTTGGGTTGACAACTGGACCTATAGCAAAATGTTGTTTTGTTTTTTCAAGAAATTATGACTCAATATCTATCAGACAGGAAATATAGTCACAAAATTCTGCTCAAGTTATGCAATAATTTCAAAACGTAGCCAGGCAGCCAAGTTGTTTGATGTTCAGTTTGTGATTATTTCCGACTGGTGACTATAACTTAATATTTATGTTTACTGTGTTTGCTATTTTTGTTTGTTTTCAGTCATTCCGTGTTAATATTTTTAGTCATGTGGTTATAATGTCAGGACGACTTTTAAAGTCAAAAGCTGTTCCGTGAAAATGTATCAGTATATGTTAAGTAGTTTGAGTATTTTAGTATCACATAGATAATATGTTTCATTTTGCACATTTTCATTAATGCATTTGTCTCTGTTCCAGGCAGCGAAACAGTATCCCTACAGCAATCTGTACTTGGAGAAAGGAGGAGATCCTGAAAAACAACCAGAGGAAGTCAAACATTATGAAATCTAACGATTGAAATCTGACTCTACTTGTGTATATATATTTCTCTGTCAAGAATAAAGACGTATGTTAACAATTACATTTTTTTGTGTGACTGTTTCTTTTATGTGGAAATAATATAAGAATTTGTAAAAAATGTTTTTTTTGACAACTCTTAGATAAGATATGTTCAGGTTATATTTTTGTTGGGTTAGCTACGACAGTGGGGTTATCTCCGGTCCCTACTTCTGATAAGTGTTCTGTGTGGGCCACCGTAGCGCAGTGACAACACGGCAGAGCACTTTGGTCGGACTCCGCCTGTGGCTAAACTGTTAGCTCATAAGTAGCTTTCTAGCTTGTTGTGGATGCGGACAGTCAGGCTGTAATAGACAGTTGACGTGAGTTACTTTCAAACCCATATTTATATTTGTTTTTTGCGGGGTTTAAATTTGCTTGATACATAATATTTCTGTCGAAATATGACAACTAGGGTGGTGGCTTTTAACTAGCATGCTAGGTAGCAGCATCATCGGCTCCGGTTAAACTCTGGGATTAAACGACTGGGGAAGGTGCTACGCCAAGCAGCTAGGAAAATTATATGACATTTTCCAAATGTAGTGGCATGCATGGGCAATTAAATGATAACTGAAAACTAAAGGAGTGATAGGTAATGGCTGCAGTCAGATTGTATGGAATGTTAAATGATGCTAATGATAAGTGTGTGCTTGGAGCCGTGACGATTAGCTTACGTTACATCAATTTCTAAGTGTCTTAACTACAATTTAATGTAGATAATATCACCGGCAACTACATTAAATCCTCAACAATGGGGTTAACAGAAATGCCGGTATAACAGCTTGTTGTGGCAAACGATTTGGTGAGTTAACGTTTAGCCACATTTTCAGGAAATAGTCGGAGGTAATCTTTCAGTAAGGGTGGCACCCTGTTACAGCCAATTAAAGTAAAAGGTACGAAATGTGAGCTATGAGTATAGGTTTGTGTAGCCTCCAATTATCCAGTTAAGGGAAACTTAAATGACAATGCTGAGTTAAATTTGTGTGAAACCCACTTTCTGATTCGTGAAACCTTGTGAAAGATAAAATGTGTCCATTTCACTGATTTTAGTGGAGTCAGATCGTCTGTCCAGGACCTGAGACTTGTAATCAGAGGAAGATGAGGCTGAAGGAGATCCAGAGGACTGCCCACCAGGCGTGGAGTCCTGCAGGACACCATCCCATCTACCTGGCCTTAGGAACATCAGCACAACAGCTCGATGCATCTTTCAACACCACAGCTGCCCTGGAGATATTTGAGATGGATTTTTCAGACCCCTCTCTGGATATGCAGCTAAAAGGGTCATTGCCCACCTCAAACAGGTAATCTATAGATGTGATATAATGTTTTAAGGCCACAATTCTTCTACCACTGTCCATAAATTACAACAATTATTTTCATTAATGAATAGTCTGTTAATAAATTGCAATCGATTAGTTGCTTTATCCATAAAATGTTAGAAAATAGTGAAAAAAACCTGTTATAATTTCCCAAGGTGACATCTTCAGAGGTCATTTTTTGTCCAACCAACAGCCCAAAACTATGATATTCAACAAAGATATGCATCAAATCATCACTTTTGAGAAGCAGCAAATGTGTCATTTTTGCTCAAGAAATTATTTATATGATTAATTCACTATCAAAATATTTGCCAATTAATTTTCTCTTAAACGACTAATTGTTGCCCCTCTAATCTTGACACATAAGTCACAAATCTTCATCCTTACTCTCAATCTCCCTGTAGTTTGGAAAAGCATATCTAGTCTGGTATCTGTCTAGTGTTCACAACACAGTTTGGGCAAAATTTAAAATAAAGCATTGTTGATTCTAAATAAAATAGAATTCTTTCATATTGCCTGCATTTTACCATCTGATTTCAACGTTTTTATAAATGATGGTTAATTTTTGGCTCAAAAGGCAAAGAGTTAGAAAGCTGAACACATGGTTTTTGCTGCAGTAATCAACTCTGATGTAGAAATGATACAGCAAGTTTTAGCTATGAGTCATTTGATGCAAACAACTCATTATACCTTTCATATACTATAGGTTGCACAGTATCGTATGGGTGAACTTTGGAATGGGAGCAGATGGTACTGGTGGGAGACTGGTTGCTGGCAGTGAAAATGGCACATTGACTGTGTATAACCCAGAGGAAATAATGAGCTCTGGAGTGGAGGCAATCGTGGGACAGTCTGACAAACACACAGGGCCCGTCCGAGCTCTTGATTTCAACCCTTTTCAGGTAAATGTCTGTCTCCTATACAGAAGGACTTCTGGCTCTGTGGTACGCATTTTTAATCTTCCTCAATTGCTTCCTTCTCCAGAATAATCTCCTCGCATCAGGAGCAAATGATTCAGAGATATACATCTGGGATCTAAACAACTTAAGCAGTCCAATGACACCAGGAGCAAAGACACAGGTGCGTGCATGATCAGGAGACCACAGATTTTGTGAAGTTTACAGATGTCTGTCGTGAGGAATGAGTCGACTTTTTTTGATTTTGATCCTGACCCATTTACTGTTGCTGAAAATAGAAACCATAGAAACCAATTCCCAACAGACAGCTTTGTTTCTTTACCTTTGTAGTTTCGTGTCAGAGTTAAAATTGAAAGTGACAAAGAAGTTTTGTTTGTGGTTTCTCTTTCATGCGTTCTGTGTGAAATTGCCCTCAGATAATGGAGCTAATGATGCTTTGTCACATAGACATTTTCTGTATAAATGTTTCAAGCAAGCCTTTCATCAATTTCATAAAAAACAATTTATCATTTACTGAATATCTTGAGTCTACGTCACTATCAGCAGTTTGCTCTAAAACTTAATTTAAATAAGTATCAACAGTATTTGCATGGCGCAGACTATGTATCATAATTTGAATATTGGGGTTTTGTTTGTCTCAGGAATCAGGGTTTTTTTTTTTGTTTGTTTGTTTTTTTTAAAGTAACAGCTTCTGTCTCTTCTTTCAGCCTGCTGAAGACATCAGTGTTGTGTCCTGGAACAGGCAGGTTCAACACATCCTGGCCTCTGCCAACCCCAGTGGGAAAGCAGTTGTGTGGGACCTGAGAAAGAATGAGCCCATCATCAAGATCAGTGACCACAGCAACAGGGTTGGTGGCTTGAGAACTTCAAACAACAAATCTTTATCTGTCGTGGATTAATCAGAAGGCTCACTGGCCACACTACACCACTGTTCTTACCCACTGCACGGCAATCAATGCACAATGTGACCACTGTCCAGTCAAATTATTAAACAGTAGCTCTGTATCAAACAGGCTGATTGGCCTTTCAACATATCTCAACCCTAAGGCAGACCCTGGGACATTACCCTTTAACTGCTGTTTATTAGCTGTTACATAGATATGCTAAGACATGTACATGAAAATTACTAATAAATATAATAAATACAGCATCATGGGTACTTACAATATACCCCCTGGAAATGAACAATTTGAACATTCTATGATCATGGGAAACTTTCCAGTTTCAGTACAGTCAAGCACCCCAAGCTAAAGTCCTGTAACAGCTTTCATGTCAAGGCTCGGATTTTACCTGCAAGACAGACAATGATTCACCCAGGAGCTTTTCAACTGATGATTCTTCTTCTTCTTCTTCTTATTCTTATTCTTATTATTATTATTATTATTATTATTATTATTATTATTAAGCCTCCCAGCCCTTTAAGGTTAGACAAAAAGTTAAAATGTTTGTGTTGCACCCTATAGAAAATCCATTTTATTTTAAGTCTCATCTGTTGTGTGATTTCAGATGCACTGCTCAGGAATGCTCTGGCACCCAGATGTTGCCACCCAGTTGGTGTTGGCTTCTGAAGATGACCGACTGCCAGTCATCCAGATGTGGGACCTCCGTTTTGCCACGTCACCCCTTAAAGTCCTTGAGAACCACACAAGGTGAAGCTTAAACGGTTTATGTATCATGCTCATGTCTGCTGTTTGTTCATCTTGCAGAGTATATTGTATGTACCCTCTGTTGGTATTTTCCTTACAGGGGAATTCTGTCCATATCCTGGAGCCAAGCTGACTCTGAGCTCCTGCTGAGTAGTGCTAAGGACAACCGGATCCTCTGCTGGAATCCAAACACTGGAGAGGTATATGACATTAATTGCTGCTTCTGTGTTACCCCTCAGTGACCTCGCCTCATTATTGTGACTTGATGACGATGCCCTGGGTTATCAAATGTATCATTTCCTTCATTTCAGGTAATTTACGAGCTTCCAACAACGAACCAGTGGTGTTTTGATGTCCAGTGGTGCCCCAGGAATCCAGCCCTGCTCTCAACAGCATCGTTTGATGGGAGGATCACTGTCTACTCTGTGATGGGAGGGAGCTTGAAGGCTCAGCAGCAAAGCACAGCTGATAAGGTAAGAGACTGTTCTGTTGTATGTGATATATTTAATTCCAGCGGCCTTGTGCTGTGAACTACATTGTTTGTCCAGAAGATGGTGCTGGTGTGAAGGGATTGATGGGGACTAATGACAGTATATGACATTGAATTTGAAAACTGACTATGCTTAGAATTTGAGAGTTAATCGCCTGAATTATGGCTGCAATCAGTAATTGTTTTCATCGATGATTATTTCCTTAATGAAGTGAATAATTGTTTGGTCACTTAAATATCAGAAGAATTGTGAAAAATGTTAATCAGAGTTTCACCGAAGATAGCCAGTACACTATCGTAGAAGTCTAAGCTAGAAGAAACCATCAGATATTCATATTTGAGAAGCTAAAAAAAAATTTGCCACTAAATTTCTGCTGATTGACTAATTAACTATCTGTCTTAAGAGTTGTGCTTGTTTTTAACATTGTATGTTTTGTTTAACAGATATCCTCCTCATTTGATTCAATGGATCCCTTTGGTACAGGGCAGGTGCTGCCTCCCCTGCAAGTTCCTCAGCCCACAGTGCAGGACACCGTAGTTCCCCCTCTGAAGAAGCCACCTAAGTGGGTGCGCAGGCCAGTGGGGGCTTCCTTTGCTGTGAGTTCAACATTGAAATATTTTATAAGCATGTTAATGGCAGAGGTAAAATCTTTTCCTTTATGACTGATATGTTTGTTTTTTATTTCTCAGTTTGGTGGGAAGCTGATAACCTTTGAGAATCCCAAGCCGACTCCAGTGCAGAGCCCCCAACCCGTCCCCAGACAGGTGTTTGTGAGCCAGGTTACCACGGAGACGGAGTTCCTCCAGCGCTCCAGGGAGCTGCAGGCGGCACTGCAGTCGGGTTCCTTCAACAACTACTGCCAGGCCAAGATTCAGAACGCCAAGTCAGACGCTGAACAGGACATATGGAAGTTCCTTCTGGTGGGCCCTTATGTACTCATATTCAGACATTACATTAACTTTGTCAGTCAGTGTTGCACTTTTGCATTCTAAACTAATTTCTGTTTACAGGTTAATTTTGAGGATGAAGCTCGCATTAAATTCCTCCGACTTTTGGGTTTCAGCAAAGATGAATTGGAGAAAAAGGTATCCTGCCTCTGATTCAAACTGCAGCTATTCTCCAATACCTGTCTTATATAAACATCTACATGTGACTCATCATCATCATCATCATCCCGTGTCTTAGCTGTAAAAATGTTTTGTTTATGCAGATCTCAAAATGCCTGGGGAAGAGTTTTCAACCCAACGGACATGGAGTTGATGCCAAAGATCTGGCAGAAAAGATGCAGCGCCTCTCCACCGAGGTCAGCAAGTCTGCACACAGAGAGTTTATTTTCAGGGTTTTTTTTTTTGTTTTTTTGTTTTTTTTGCTCATTGTTATTTGCAGCTCCTGTTTACTTGGAAATATTCTTTGTTGTATTTCCAGAGGTCTGATGAAGTGACTGCAGTAGGTGATGCTAGAACTTCCGGTTCCGTTTCACCAGCGGATTTCTTCAGCCAGACCCCAAAGGAAAACTCCAACTTCCAGATCCCTGTGTCATGTGGTAAGATCCCTCATCTAAAAAATACTGTTTTATTATGTGATTGTTACACATATTAGCTGCATGATTGCGAGCTTAACTGCAGGTTATGTGACTGGGTTGATGGCTAATGAGCTTGTTGTTCTTTTGAAGATACTGACGGGTTGATAAGCCAGGCGTTGCTGGTTGGTAACTTTGAGGGAGCTGTGGACCTGTGTCTGAATGATGGCCGCTATGCTGAAGCCATCCTCCTGTCTATCAGCGGGGGAGAGGAGCTGCTTAAGAAAACGCAGCAAAAATACTTAAGCAAGCAAAAGAACAGCATTTCAATGGTGAGAGAATTAATGTCAAAGTCGATGCTGTTGAAGTTGCATTCGTTTTGTTGATTGTGCTTCAGATGGTACATTCACAGGAGAAAACATTTTATCTACATGTTAAGTTAATATAGTTTATCCTCGACACTAGCTTATATCATCAGTGGTGACCCAGAACTGGAGAGACATAGTGCAGAGCTGTGAATTGGACAACTGGAAGGAGGCTCTCGCTGCTCTTCTGACCTATGCTCACCCTGAAGACTTTGCCCGTCTGTGCGGTAAGATGCTCACTCTGCTCATGCTGTGACTTGCCTCATTGCCAGGAGAACTGCACAGCTGTACTTGTTTTACTTGCTGAATAACATTTCTGTCTGTACCTATCTGCTCTGCTCTCATGCAGGCCTTCCCTCTTTTTTTTTTTTCTTTTTTTTTTTTAAAACATTGTTTCACTCTGTAATTCCTGGTAGATACGCTGGGAGGCCGGCTGGAGCGTGAGGGGACAGAGAAGCGCTGCCTGCAGGCCTGTCTGTGTTACATCTGCTCTGGGAATGTTGAGAAGCTGGTGGAGTGCTGGGCCTTGCATAGAGACTGCTCCTCCCCTCTTGGTTTAGAGGTATAATCCCCTAAAATGAATCCCTCTAAGATGAATAATGAATGATTGCATTCTCCATTATAAAGAAATGTCCTGACATGTTCGAAACTGTTGTAGCTTGAACCTGCAAGAGATTTTTTTATGGGCTGTACATGCAACACCCCATAGTAGCCCAAAGGTGAAAAAAACTGAGGAATGCAGCAGTCACAGTGTTGTGTGCTCTGTATCTTGCAGGATCTGGTTGAGAAAGTAATGATGCTACGTAAGTCAATCGAACGCCTTCGCAACAGCGAGGTGGCAGTCCAGAGCCCCATCCTGGCCGAGAAGCTCACCTGCTACGCCGGCATACTTGCTGCAGAGGGCAGCCTGTCCACTGCCATGACCTACCTGCCTGATAACTCAGACCAAGTGAGAGGCGTAGCGCAAAGTTGTGAAAGATCTGCACTCTAAATTCATAGTTTTACTTTATTTGGATTGTAATTTGCACCTTTGCGTACTTGTGCCATTTTGTCTCTGCAGCCTGGGATCACGATGCTGAGAGACAGGCTGTTCCACGCTCAGGGAGAGGCTGCCATTGGACAGCAGCCTCCAAACTCCTTCAACAGAGTCAATGTGTCGACAGCCAAGCCCACTCCTGCTGCGCAGACTACTGCACCAAAAGCACAAATTATGGTATAAATTTATTAGCGATCAACAGCATTAATTCATGCATGTATTTTGCAAGATGTTCGAACTTTTCCTTCAAACATAGAGACCATTGGGGTGATTGTTTTTTTTTGTATTCAGAGCCAGTACCAGCCCTCTGCCCCTTCTCAGGTGGCTGCACAAGCGCAGCCTCCTATGCCATCGGTTTTTACCCCACAAGCTGCTCCAGCCAACACCGGGCCTGGTCTGCCACCCTCTTCTCATGTACTGCCGCCCAGTGCGACCCGCCCTGCCATGAGGCCTTCCTACCCGCAACATCCTGCTCCAGCTCCAGGTTTGACTGTTTGTTCTAGTAATGATTTCAGGCTGATTTTATTTGATATAATGATATTTATTTGTGTCTCTTCCCAGGCTTTCTTCCTCATCAGCCATTCCAGCCTCAGCCCATGCCCATGGGCGGACTCTCAGCCTTCCCTCCTCCAGGTCCTTCTATGCCAGCTGCTAACTTATCAGGACCTCCACTACCGCCTTCGTCATCAACCCCCGGAGGTCTGCCCCCCATGCCCAGCCCCGGGGTGCCACCAACAGGCTTCATGCCATCTACCTCTTTACCCTCAGGCCTCATGCCGCCCAGCTCCCAGCCCGGAGCCCCAGTTCCCATGTACCCAGGGGGCCTCCACAACCAGGGTTCTGCACCCCCAATGGCGTCTGGTCCCTATGCTCCTCTCGGGTCAGGGTATCCACAGGGAGGCCCCGGAGCGCCTGCTGTAAAGCCTTTCCCAGCTGCTGCTGTCGCTCCTCCTCCTACAGGTACACAACATGTTTGTCACCTCCAGATCAAGAGATCATAGTTACATTCATTCAGTTTTTTCACACTTTTTCTCACATGTTTACCCAAATATTTCTTGATAGCAACAGTTTTGCGCAGCGTTACAGATGTTAGCAGGATTCTGCTGCTTACAGTGATTTACTTCTATTCAGCTGTCACTCCTTATTTGACTTGCAGGATATTTTCCCTGGCTGAATTCCCAGTGTGACCATCAAGGTGACAGGGTTAGGGTTTATTGAATCAGAGTGCATTGAAACATACACTGAGTGACATTAAAAAATACACCTGTATGGTATAATTCAGTGCAACACAATATTCCTGCATTATGTTCATTCATACATGTTCATTATTACATGTCACCGCACAGGGTTTTTATATCTTTCACTCAGTGTGTGTTTGGTGGTGTTTGCTTGTGCTGCTGTAGCTTCAGGAAATTGTAGTGCCTTAAGAGAACAAACAAAACTACAGTTTCCAGTAGAGATATTCCAATACAATTTTTTTCCTTACCAATTCCTGCTGATGTGTTAAAAAAAAACAAAAAAAACATTTAACAGCATTTCCAATACTAGAATCAGAACAACTCTAATTTCCAGGCTTGAATTAAAGAAAAAAAAAAAATCTATCTCTAAATAAAGTTTGATTTTTGAACACACAGTATCAGCCCCTTAAACATAACATACACTGTCTTATAGTGCAAATTAAGACTTAAGTCCAACATCTTTGATGCTTGTGATTCTTCAGCATTGGGATATTGTTGCTGTTGGCTGCCTGAACTATTTGCAGTATTTGCTGTTTTGTTTTCGCATAAACTGCTAAAGTCTACGGGCTAATTTCATGTTCACAGCATTTTGCCATCTAGACTAACCTTGGCTCAAAGAGACAATCTCTGGCTGCTTGAGTGTGACCACATTAAAAAATGCCACTAGTTTCTGTCTGATTCTCACTCTTCTTCTAATGTAGGACCTCAAGAAGGCTGGAATGACCCACCAGCAGTACGAGGTGGACCCAGGAAGAAGAAGGTATTTGTGCATTTATCACTATTAAAATAATCTTTTAGCTCTTGCAGTTTTGTCCAGTCTCTGCAACATTTCCTTTTGAAATATGCTAAATTAGATATAGATAATATGCTTGCAAATGTATGATCAAACCTTCCCTCATTTAGTGACCCAGTCGACAACTACTGTTGTGAGCACAGGTCAAATCAAACTTAACATAACTTAAACATTAATGCATTTAAAGGTATGGTTGAATATCCTCTAAGATAGTGGTTCCTAAACTTTTTTTCTTTGACATACATAGAGGGACTGGGAAAAGTTAATATTTAATCATTTAACCCATCAAGAGCTCAGTTCAATAATTTAAGTTATCATTCATTGTTAAAGCTCCACTAATAAATGTTTTATTACAACAATGTATTACATTTCTACATAGAATTTAAAAGGGAGTTGTGTGTAGTGACGAACCCCTAGAGAAATATCATCTCATTAACTCTCATTAACTTGATTTCCAGCAAACAAGCTCTAATAAACTCACTGTACACTGCCTGCTCTGAAATTAATGGGAGACAAAGTTAGCAACTAGCTAACTACAAGTTAACTAAAGTTGAACATCCAGTCAGCGTTCCTCTGTCCAAATGACCCCAAAAGTCAGTTAATGTAGCTTTAATATGTCAAATCTTAAACAGCCCAGTCTCAGTGTATTTTAACCTCCCTCTCATGGACTGGTTGTGAGTTACTGTTGTCTTGTACGCAGGTCCCCGATAACTACACTCCACCAGCCCCCATCACAGCTCCTGTGATGGGATTCCCAGTGGAGGCCCCTCAGCCTCACGACCACGCCCAAGTCCCCCCCGGAGCCCCCCAGGAGCCCAGCGTGCAGGTTGGTGTGTGACAAGGGGCCGTTATCTAAATTCTTGGCAGAAACTCGCACGGCAAACATGTCAGCACTTTGTATATGTGTCCTTGTTTTGCTCAGCTCCTCCAGCAGCTGCCAGCAGAGAGGGTGGAGCAGAAGGAAATCCCTGCTGAACACATGGTCCTCAAATCCACCTTTGACAGTCTGGTGCAGCGTTGCCAGCTAGCAGCAGGAGACCCTGTAAGTCTCACAGCCTGTCTATGGCAGCATCCACATTTTGCTGTTTTATATTGATTTAAAAAAAAAAAAAAAAGTTTTATGAAATATTAAAAGATCAAAATTATTTTAATTTCAGCAAACAAAAAGGAAACTTGATGATGCAGCCAAACGTTTGGGATACCTGTATGACAAGCTGAGGGAGCAGTCGGTAAGGAATTGTTACATGCAAGCAAGGTTGTCGTCATGGTGCAACAAAAAAAAAAAAAGGTTTTTCAGAGAGTTCCCCTTTCTTTCTAATTGTGTCTTGATTGATTATTACTCTTTGATTAAATGAAATTATGGTATATGACCCCTGAGAATCTCTTCTCCTCAGTGCCCACATGCAGTGATGATTTGAACCTTAAAGGGTCGCTGCACCCAAATCATAAAAAGCTGGGTATTGCAACCAATGTTGCGTTTAATGAATTTTGTTAAATGTTTTCTGTATCACACAAGGAATTCCCCACAGCTCTGTGTATTTTGGGGGTGGCAGAAGTCTCAAGGAGAAAATCGGTGAATCACGTATTGCAGCATTCCTATCACCTTTTTATGTAGAGGTGACGACTATGAGGAAATGACTTCCACTTTATTTACAAAAACTTTTTTTCTAATTACAAACAATTTTGATCATTAATAATTGAAGTCATTCATATTGCAAAAAATGCAAAAACACTGTTGCTCAGACAAAACAAGCAATTTGAAGAAGTCTTCATGGACGCCCGGGAACTTATGATATGATTTCCCTGCCAATCTCTTAGCTCTCTCACAACATCCTGAACGGGCTCCACGAGATCAGCCGCTGTGTGGCGAGTCAGAACTACCAGCGCGGCCTGGAGGTCCACACCCAGGTGGTCAGCAGCAGCAACTTCAGCGAGATCTCCGCCTTCATGCCCATCCTCAAAGTGGTCATGACCATCGCCAACAAGCTGGGCGTCTAACCCCCGGGAACTCCACCAATCAGACTTCAGTGTTATCATACTGTTATATATGTATTTATTTCTTTTTGACCTGATGATGTGCTTTGATAATGAGAGTAATTACCGATAATATTGCAGATTGTGATCTTCATCAATCCATACATGTTCTTTCCCGGAGGAACTCGGCTGATGTGGGCAGTGAGGTGGACTTTTGTAGAGGTTTGTTAATGTTGCTGTGGTAATGTTACGATAAGATGAATGTATTCTGAAAGTTGTGATTCAGTGTAAATTCAACAGTCGATGTAATATACAAAGCAAGTGGTGAAAAAATTTGAATCAAGGCGGTGTTTGTACAAGTAGGTGCATTTTCATAGTCCACATTACACTCTACACCAGTGCATATTTTCCCCTCTCACTTAAGCAGTAGTTGAAAAAAAAATTGTGATTGAATGCATGCAGTGCTTCAACTGCAGAAAACAAAACATCTGGGACTAACAACCCCGAGGTGGGGGTGAGGATCGTGAGAATAAAATTTGAGTTGCACTTATTATCCATCTGTCAGTGTACTTTGTATGAGGGAGATACAGACTGGCGCTCGTGTTGTTTTTACAGAGCGAGTATCACAAGCATCAAAAGCATTTAAAAGAAACACTGTAACATAAGTACTGATTGTTCTATTCACCTGATGTAATAGATTGTGTCAAGTTCATTGTGCCATTAGGGGTTTTGGGCCAAAGCACTGCAGAAGGATGTCACACAGTGATTGTCGAGTTGTTTTTTTTCTCATTCTATGTTAACTAAGCCCTAACTAATAGCACTGGTACTTCCTAATAGCTTGTGTGAATGACTGAATGTAAATGACTTTTTCTTTTCACCCTCAGACTTGCTTCAGTGTGCATGTTCCCCATGTTAACTCCTTCAATGACTGCTGAGTTCACATGGCAGCTCGCAAACAAAAATTACATTCATTTATGTTGAAACTGAAAATTAATTAATATCCTCGCAGCTCCCTCTGTTGAAGATGCTCTTGCTCTTCTTTCTACCCACTCTACATCTTAACCTTTTGTAACTGAACGACTTTTTTTTCTTTCTTTTTTGTTTTTTTTCTTTTGAATCATACTTGTTTTAGATTTAGATCATACAACCTAAATGAACTGTCAAATGAAATCAAACAAACATGATATTCTGAGGTTTGTAGCTGGACATAAAAGCTGGATAGTTTGGTGTATCATGGCAGCAGAAGGCAGTAAAGTGCCTCAGTGTGCTCATTTTGGTTGCACAGATATTTATACAATCCATGTTGCTTACTTTACTCATTTCGGTATCTTTTTCAAATAAAATTCCTCTTCAAAGGGCTTGAGATTTGATTGGTTTCTTCATCAGCTCATGGATTTATTAATGGTGTATAGATAAGCTATTGACCATTATAAGGACAACCTTTGGATTGCCAGGTTTTATTACTCTAATTCATCATTATTGCTGTTGGCTTGTTAGAAAGATAGCAACCTGTGACCCTTTAATATTTATAAATGGAAAATCAGTGACTTATTAGAAATATTACAGTTTCAGAAAAGCTGCCCCATTAGAAACTGTTACCAAAATGTCACATTTAGGAATATGTGCTTTTGGTTTGATTCCACATATGACTATGAATTATGAATTCTATTGTTTGTTTGTTTTGTTTTTAGTTGTTGGGTTTTTTGTATGTAATCGCTTATGTTTTCTTTTTGCAGATTCTCAGTGTCCTGAACCAATTACCAGCAAAATCTACTATATCTAAATATCTAAACTACAGTACATGCTGTTTTCAAAATTATCTATATATCTATATATTTGACATGTGTATATGTTTATACCTATATAATATATGAAGCAAGTGTCATAAACACATACTTTAACTTGGAAGCTGTAATTACTTTAGATTTTACATACAAAATACATGATGAACAAATACAAAACCAATTATAATGGATTCAACTGTATAAAGCAGTTAAATATCATGAATAGTTACATTAAACTGATGCTTACACATGATTGCACCAAAAAGTTTAATCCAATGAAACAATACCTATATTGTAGCACTTTGGAAGAGGGCAGTGAGTACTTTCAGGTAGATTTTCGTTCCTCACTATTAACATTAACATAGGCAGTTTCCACTTTGAACAGTAGATGGCGCTCTAAATGCATTTGTCTTTTTTTGTTGTTTTTATATATTGACCAAAGGAAATATACAGCATTTGCCTTATCTTTCAGTGGCTGCCAGACAAAATGCCACGCCCAGCACTTCATTAAAATTTTCTAAACCTACAACGACAGGAAATGAGCCACTTTTAACTCCTGCTTCTTTTCCCCATTTTCACCAAAGGCACGTGAATGCACCGAAGTCTGCATTTCCGACTTATTTTCCTGACGACTTGTAGACTTAGAGAGGCGTTTCTTAACTCACTGCTTTCTTTCACTGTCACGTCCAGAGGCTGTGAAATGTCAGTAAATGTGCAAGCTGGCACAGGTGGTTCACCCGCCCTGCCCCTATTGGTCCAGGAGGATCATAAGTCAGGACCTCGCTGCGGATTGGCCGGCTGGAGTCAGACGCTGTGAGCTGCGTGGCGTGAATGTTTTTTGGGGGATTTTGAACTGCAGTAACCTCGGAATCATGTCAGCCTGGGGTGATGGTGGTATAATGCAACTTCACTACACATCACACCACAGCAGCTTCCTGAGTCATGCTGTACTCTCCCTGTATGGGACACTGAGTTGGCTCAGTGTTTAATAAAGCTGCAATGTCCTGCCTGTAACTCTGACATACCAGTGTACCAGTACAAGCACAGTAGTTTATAAAGTTATGATCCTGTCAGAAACCACCCAACTATGACCAGTGGTGGAAACATTTACTCATGTACTTGTATTTTACTGGATTATTTTCAAATGATGCTGCTCTCTCGCATTTAAGCTTTAGTTACTTTGCAAATTCACGTTATTAATACAAAATATAATAAAAAATCAATTCTGAATTTAGTATTGTGGCAGGTTGGTTGTCCCCAACTTTACCAGCTGTAACATTAAAGTGATTCTTACACATTAATGTTGGCTTGAATGTGTATGTGTATGAAGCAGTTGAAGTAGTATTAAGAGATGGGGGAAAAAAGCAAAAGAGATGCAAACTGTAGTAACTCAGCTGAGCTAGCTGCTGGGATGATATATCCCCTGACAAAAGGATTTTGAGCTTGTAAAGTGATGTTCACAAATAATTTGAAAGTTTATAGGTGTAAATCAACCTTTGTAAACCTGTAAATTGTCTATTTATCTGTTTGTGTGCTTGTATGTGTGTGTGAGTGTGTGTGTGTGCAAGTCTAACCAGCTGCTACTCTGAAGTATCATTATAGATAAAGCTATCTGACAGCATACAAGTAGTAGCGACATTTAAGTGATGCTTATACATTAATGCTCTAATAAGTATAATCCAATAATATATAATTCTAATGAGTACTTTTATTCTTGGTATTTGAAGAATATTTTTGATGCTAATACTTGTGTACTTTTACTTATGCACAATTTTTTTAATGCATAATTTTTTCTTGTTACAGAGTAAGACTCAGGAGGCAGATGTAAAAGTACAGATGCGGGAAAGAGAAGGCACGTGGCACAAAGACAAATCCGGCAGAGGGCAAATGGAAACTAAGGAGCTAATGAGGGAATGTTGAACAGGTGAGCAGGTGAGTGGGAAGGAGGAGCAGGTCAGGTGATTCTGCTGGAAGGGAAGGTGGGCAGGCAGACGGGAGTGGCAGCAGATTGGACTGAATGAATGAAAGCACGAACGAGCAGACTGAAACCATGACAACTGCTATTGTTACTTCGGTGACAGTAGATTAACTCAAGTACTATATAGGCTACATAAGTAGAAGTTTGAGGTACTTGTACTTAATTGGAGTATTTCCATTGTCTGCTACTTTCTACTTCGATTCAAGGTGTTTCAATGATTCGTTTAGTCTATAAATTGCACTAAAATAGGCCAAAGGAAGATATTTCATTTACAGTGACATGTAATAGAGAATGAAATCGCAACAGACACTGGAATTTCGGCATTTTTGTTTCATAAATGACTTGACATCTATGATTAATTGACTAATTGTTTAAAAAAATTAGAGTACTTAGGGAACAAACCACGTACTCCTCGACCTGAAAGTCAGTTTTAATATAAACTGGCTGCTGGTCAGCACACTGGTCTGACATTCCTCTCTGCCCTGTGTAAACCGTTTGAGAGTGCTTTACTCATCTGCAGGCAAGAGCTAATAACTGCAGTATTAAATAGGAGGGATATATTTGACTCGCACACTTGTGTCAGCAGCAAAATGGATGTGTTCGGTTCTTAACCACAGAAGGCAAATGCTCAAGGGAACAGAAAAATCCCCAGACAATCTCCCAGCGGGATTTTTAGCAGAAAATTGCAGATCACCATCTTCACATTCCCACATAAAAAAAAACGTGTTGGTAGAAGTATTCAGGTCATTCACTTTATCAAAGTTAGCAATACCACAATGTAAAAATACGCCATTACAAGTAAAAGTTGTGAATCCAGTGTTCCTCATGTTTTATTCCTATTAGTATTCCCTGTTGTGTTGTTATAGTCTTATATTATTCTGAATATGTTGAGTTCTCTGACTCTTGGTCGGACAAAACACGACATTTTCAATGTCAACTCAGACTCTGGGAAATTGTGTTTGGCATTTTACACTGTTTTCTGACATTTTATAGACAATACATTCATTAATCAAGAAAATAATCAGTAAAGAAAATACTTGTTAGTTGCAGTACTAGTTCATAAGTATCACAAGTACCCATTATGCAGAAAGTTATAATGGTATAAGTATTTCAATATTGGAATATTATAACTGATGCATGAATGTGTAAGCAGCATTTTCATTTGTTGTAGGTAACAGTTCACACTTAAATGATATAAACTGATCATATGTTTAATATGTAAAATGTTAACCTGAAAAGTAGCTTTTCTTTCTACATTTCTGATAAATTGTAGCTAATGAAGAAAAATCACTCTGAAATGTTGGAATTTGAGCAGCTATGAATTAGCATGCAAGGTATACATGTCTAAAATTTTACTTTAGTAGGTTCTAGAATAGATAAGCTTATGAAATAGAAAGCATTGTCAGAGATAAAACCAGCAGGTCCCAACATTTTTGGTTTCCACCAAAGAGACGGCTTTTCTTTTGTTAACTTCTCAGCTGGTTTCTGCGGGAACGTTCCCCGAACATTCCATGAGCCATGGCCCACGTGCCGGTGAGACAAGCACGGATTAACCACGGGGACGATTGGGCCGGTGCCAGCTCAACTAGCAAAATGAAACTTGAATGAAACTGGAAATGAAACTGGCCCTCTATTTAAAGTATTCACGGCCTAAAGAGGTCGAATTATCTAGTATGTCACATGACAATCAAAGACTAGAGAAAAGACCAAAGTGTGAATACACATCTGTGAAGCAGAACTTGTTTCTGTTACTATTATATTCATGTATTGGAACTGTTACTTGAATAAAGGATCTGAATAGTGTCAGCCAGAATAGAACAGACTTCTTCTCCACTGTTAAATGGTGGAGGATGAATCCAGCCCTGACATGTGGCCTCATTCATTCACTTAATCAAGATGAAATGCTTCATGTTTGTATGAGGTTTGCTGCAGCAGGTGAAGCTGGATCATCTGTTTCACTTGTGTCAAAACTGAGCCAACTTTAAAACTAAGACATGACTTTCAATTTGTACCAGACTGAAAAGAAGAGGAAGAGAAAGTCCACTGGCTGTAGTCCAAGGCTGAAAACACAAGTCTGGTTAAAAAAAAAGAAAAGGTTAGGTGTTGACCTCTTAAGCCAGTCAGAATTTTTTTGAAAATTCAAAGATTATGTGGAGTACAGATATTTATAAGACAAAGTGAAAACACAGTGAATAAAAAGAGGAAGAAAAAAAGAAGAGCGACAACTGCTTGAATTACCAGTGTATTGAAAATATTGTGAATTTAATTTCAGAATAGAACACAGTTGAGATTTGACATAATCATTCAGACTGACAACCTTTTGATCCTCATTGTCATTAGGAAAATGTTGATTTCTACGCTCTGGACAGCGGGAGTTGTTTGCATGGCTTGTGATATTTATTGTCGGGTTTGGTAGGAGCTCTGATGATGCTCCAACATTCCTCATGACAGCACCTTTGTGTGGAGGATTTCATACTGAGATGCTGTGATGGGTTGAAACTAGTTGGCACATCCATCAGGGACCATATTTTTCAAGTTAAATTTGGTGATTAAAACGTCTGCACCAGGCGTTAAGTTTGTATCAGATTGTATGAAAATGAACGTCTATGCTCTAGTCATATATATCTATATATATATTTCATATATTTTATACTACCTTGATGTTGTCACGCAACCATTTGGCTAAATTAAATGCTCATGTGGTTTAAAAATAAAAACAATGTTCGACCTGGTGCTTCAGCCTGTAAACATGGACCACGGTCAGATTTGTTTTGTGGTGCTTGAGCCTTTTTGTCTTAACTGACAGGACATGAAGAAGATCAGGAATGGATGCAAGTCATAAGGCATTAGGTTGTATCCTGACTCTTGGGAAAAAAAAAGAGCTGCTCCAATTTGATATATTTTATCAGACTGTCTGCCAAATTTTGGAATGCAGAAACTTGTTCAGGTTAGAGCAATAATTTTTTTTAAGTCAATAAGAAAAAAAAAACAAAATAAATACATAAATAAGGTCATGTAAGCATTCCGCACACCAGAATTGAAGATGAACATAAACATCGCTGCACCTGAAATTTTGCAACAACAATCAGCTTTTGTAGGACATCAAAAGGAAACCAGACCCTGTCTCAGAAATCACCACGGCAACAGTTCTGATGATCCAAAAGCGATGCAGCTCCACAGTACATTACAAAAATAGACGCGGTTCTGCCGTTAGAGTCACCGACAAAAAAAATACACCTCACTACAACACCTACTACAGTATATCGTCATGCATGGGTGGCATGTTGTTTTTGTAACACCAGAACTGTCACATGACCTGCTGCTACATCGACCAATGGGACCGCTGCTGCAGATGTTTCGGGACAAAAGAGGGACATGTCGGATAAAAATCTCAAAGAGGAAGCAAAAGCCACTGATGCCACAATATTTAAAAACTTCCATGACAATGTTAAGTGAAGAAGCAATATCGACTTAGTGTGCTCTAGTGGACCATAGAGATGATTATAAATATGGCGACAATTGGCACGCTCTTGGCACTGTGATATATTCACCAGAAACACAAAAAAAGTCAATTAAACATTGCATGGTTCTACGGTAAAATGACATTTATCATTTGCTGTTAATGTTCAATGGCAGTTTTAATTTAATGATAAATGTGTCCCTTAAATTGTCTTGAAAACGCTCCATCCAATTATTACACAGACTAAATACAGTATTAGTCTTTTTTTTTCTGCAAAAGACAACCAAGTTATACACAGAAACACAATGCATGACTTGGTTTCTGTACAGGTTTGGCATACCAGTTGTCAGTATAGTCAAGTTATAATAAGACGGTCTGGGTTCCCTCACTCTTCCATCATGTGCCATATTTCATTAAAGCCAGCAACTTTTTTTTTCCTTTTTTTTTTAACGAAACGAACGTGATTCAAACTCTCATCCTTTTTTTTTTCCTTTTTTTTTCAGATCTTAGAGCGCTCCAAAACTTAATTTATATCAGAACTGTAAAAACTTGCTGTAAACTGCAATAAAAGGCAACAGTCTCCCCATCAGCATCATACCTTATCAGTTAAAACATTGTTACTCCATATTTCAGTGCTCCACTTCTTGTCTATTTTGATTAATAATTGAGTAATACTTACAGAAAAATGATCGGCTACATGACTGATCTTGCATGAAGAAATGCACACCAAAGTGGCAAAACAGCGGAGAATGAAGTTGACTTTTAAAATGTATCTACTTCAAATCTAAAACATCTTTGCAAGACCTTGGCCTGACTGAACAATAGAAACTGAGGCTAAGAGCTTAGCAAAAATGTGTTGTTTTTTTTGTTTTTTTTTTTATCCATCTTGAACATTTTGTTTAGTTACAGCTACAAAAACCACAAAAACAAGCAAAATGTGGTCAAGGCCCTCATGAAGCTGACTTTCATCCTCAGAGGATGAGAAATGTATAGCTGTCAAAGACTGTGAAGCTTCTTCGTTTCGGTTGTCTTGCCTTGAAGCTGACCACAACTCAACAATCTTAGCCACTCCGGTGGCTTCCGTCTCCAGTGCGCTGTATTCGGGCCAGTACCAGCTCGTGGGACACTCTCTTGCGGTCCTTGGCCAGGCCCAAGAAGCACATGAAGTCGATGAAACAAGTTGTAAGGTTCAACTTGCAGCCAAACTCGCTGGTTGCATAGTCATAGGGGAACGTGTGGTGGTAGTTGTGAAATCCCTCACCTGTATGGCACAGGAAACAGAGATGAACATTTCATACTAAAAACAGGAATCGATTCAGACTCTTCACAGCTGCAACATGTTTACAAGACAAAGACAAACCTAACTGCAAGTGACTGTAAGTAACTGTCTCTTATATTTGATGGAAAGTTAAGCCCTTTATCCTACAGTTTTTGGTAACACATCAATCAAGACACATTCTTGGCACAAGACTAGAGTTCTTGTAAACCACTACAGAGACAGAAAGCAGGTTTTCATTCAACCACAACATATACAGTTGGTTTCACAAGCAGGACTCCGCATACAGTGCTGGGCCATGAGGTGATTTTGGTGTGGTGGCTGCTTTTGGAACTGGATCACGTGATAACTACTGGCCTAAAAACACATTCTCCCATACATAATCACTGCAAAAGAAATGACTCTAAAATTATCAGTATGTTTTTTTCTCAGCAGCACAAACATCACAGTCATCACAATTTAAGCCATTAGGTCCAATAAAGAATAAAAAGTCTTGAACAGCCTGTGGGTAAATGATTTTTCCTCCATTTGTGGGCATGAGGAGTTAGCTAGCTCAGCCAGAGATGGTCTCTGAGGCCTAAACACACAGAAGCCTGATGAGCAGTTTTCATTGGAATGAAGTGGGGGACATTCATTGTGCGCCCTTTGTCGCTGCACTACTGACTCCTCCTGGTTAGTAGCGGTGGAGGTGGATAGAATGGGAATCAGGCATTGGGATAAATAAGGGCTTCAGAGCTGCAACTGTTGGCCGATTAAACAATCGACATAAAAATATCTACAACTATTTTGACAATTGTTTTAGGTCCAGCTTTTTTATTACACTAACTCAGTAGTCTGACTTACCTGATATTTTGCACAATTATTCCTTGTACAATGTCCATACATTTCAAGACAGGATTTAACTACTCTCCAAAAATGAACATGTACACGAATCAACAGTGTCAATAATTCACTCCTGCATTATTCAGACTGTGGCTCTAAGTTACTCTTCCAAATCTTTTTTTTTTTAAATCTTTTCTTTTGTAACAATCAGAGCATGCGTTCACACGTTCTTCATACCTATAGCGCTGAACGTGACAAACTTGTTCTCCCTGGGGTTGATGCTCTTGTCATAGGGCCTGTTCCCCCACATGTGAGCCGCGCTGTTGACCAACCAGGTGGCGTTCAGGACCAAGGTGTACCTCAGCAGAGCCGGGATGAAGTACGCCACCCACAGAGTCTCCCCCCACAGGTACCAAGGCACGAACATTGGGACGAAGAAGCACATGACCAGCACCGACGGCTTGTAATACCTGTCGAGGGGGTAGAGTGGGCGGAGAGCAGAAAGAATTGAACTTACTGTTTACTCAGCAGATCATAAACACACAAAAATAAACACACAATGCACTGCTTGTCACACATGGGATTCCTCACTCTCTCACTTTCCTCCACATGACACAGTTTTCATTGAAACCAACCTGTAGTCACTTTCTATGTGCATGAATGACATGTGAGTAACCGGGACCCTGTTAAACCAGAATGACAAATACAACCTGCACTGCAAACACAACTCTGCATTAGTGTTGGGTATATTGTTTTACATTAAGTTGCTTTTTATATTTGATATATTCTCAGAAAATAAAATAAGAAATGCAATGCTGCTTGTTCACTGTCAACACTACCTGACAAAGGAGTAAAATGCACATTTTGTAAAAAACTAAAATCTAATCTGATAATTTGCTATTGGATAAAACATAAAAATCAATCAGTGACTGAAGCTACTTACTTCCTTTGAAACATTACAACTTTGTCAGCCAGCAGGTCATTGAGCTCCAGCTTGCGTCCTTTCTCGATGACGTCGGGGTGTTTGCGCACCAGCAGCCAGCCAATGTGAGCAAAGAAGAAGCCTCGGACGGCGTTGTGAGGGTCCGCGTCTGTCTCTGAGTATTTGTGGTGGACCCTGTGGTCTCGAGCCCATTCAAAGATATCATTCTGTGGGTGTAAGTGAAGACAGAGATTACACACACTGTGGACCCAACATGGCATTTACACAGTAATGAAAACTGCTATTATCGCAATGTTAAGTGTGTGCTTGTGTCATTTTTAGGTACCTGAAACGCCATGGAGTTAGCAACACCAAGAAAGATCCTTAGTGGTAATGACGCCTTGTAGGATCTGTGACTCCACAGGCGATGGGCTCCTGCAGTAACTCCTAAAGCACTTATCAAAAAACAAAGTACGGCTGTGGGGAGAAATGCATCAACAAATTAGTTTGACCGCATACTACTCATCTATTCCTGTCATAAGCACTTTATTGCACCAACACTGCACATTGCAATGTATTTGCATCATGCACTGTCAAGAGTTAGGGCTGGGTTGTCAATCCTGCAACAAGTGATATATCAATCACATGTGATACATCGTGATATCTGTGTAACTGAAGGAAATCATCCCCTTGAAATTGTAAAATGTTTTTTTTCAAAAAGCAGAAATGATTGATTCACTATAACATCTTTTCAAACTGTGGTATGTGTTTGTGAATTTGCTCCAAAAATCTCTCAACAATGCAATTAAATGTGTCAACCTAGCTTTCCTGCACAATATATCTAACTGAAAATGTTTAAAATCTGCCTTTGCCTGAACTTGTCTGTACTAGCCTACTTGTTTGACAAGAAATTAAATAACAGCGAATCAAACAAGGTATATTACATGAACTGTGACACTCACTCGGTAGTGTAATTAAGTCACATCACATGATGACTGGATGGATAAAACCTTGCATGTATGATAAGACAAAGATTAAAATCTATCCAGAAGTCCACCCTTTTGGGCTCTGATTAATTTGCAGATGATTTTTATGATTAATCAATTAGTTGCATTGTCTATAAAATGTCAAATAAATAAAATGTCATCAGTTTCCAGGACCCCAAAGTGAGGTCTTAAAATGTCTTTCTTTATCCCATCAACAGTCAAAGACCCCAAAATATTCAGTTTGCAGTTACATAAAACAGAAAAAAACATACTCTGAGAGAGGGGGGAACTGTTGGCAAATGTTTGGCCTTTAAGGTTTATAAACAACTCCAACAATTAATTGATTATCAATTGCTGATTTCTTCTCTATTGATCAACTAATCAATAAGACGACAAATTGTTTCAGCTCTAATATATTGTCACTTATTGGCAGATCTCTGTTGTTCAGGAGTACAAGTAACATCCTGACAAGCATGCACTGACATTAAATTTCTGATAATATATGCCTCATCTACGTTTCCCCCTACATGCAGGATACTGGGAGGATCATGCACAGATCTATGTAACCACCACCTTTTTGCAAGCATGCAGCAGTGGTGAGAAAGTGGGCCGGGCTGCTGACATAACAGCTGTGATTAAGAAAAAAACGTGAATTTAATTTAAAAAAGAAAACACCACTATCAACACCCAGCCCGTTCAGAAATACTGTTAACAGGTAGATTTACTTTCTATATATACTTACACCAAAGCAAGGTCAAAGGAGATGCTGAAGGGATGAGGAACACGCCGTACAGGGCACCTATATGCAACAGAGTCATCAATATGACATTTTTCCACACGATGATCTTGGGAGGTTTGGGGCCCTCTTTCTCTTTGTATGTGTGATCAAACGCGTCTTCTGTGGTGGCCTCTGGAGGAACATTTCCGTTGCTGGACTTATGCTGCTTCTTCTCCAACGCCTCCGCCTCCGTCATCGTGGCTGCGGTTTGGGCGATGCGCTGAGCGGCAAACATGAGAGAAATCCGTCACCCCGGTATTTTTGTGACGAGCTAACGTCACAGAAGCTAACAAAAAAACACCCTCCTCACACGGTGAATACGTTAATTATTTCTGTGCTATCCAGCTAGCCCGGTAAGCTAGCTGTTTGACGCTGGATGGCAATGTAACGATGATGCTGACTTCTAACTGTGATACGACACTCGCCGCGTTGCATAACACTGATATTACACCTGTAGAGAAAATAAAGGGCAGATAAATAACTCACCAAAGACAAGGAAGATGAGGTGAAAGGAATGTCCGGCTGTTAAACGGAGACGAAGCTGGTCTGTTTAACCCAAAACTACAGTAACCCAGAAAAGGAAGAGTGACAGTCAGCAGCTCCGCAGCGATCGCATCAATGGGAGCTGGAGCTGGAGGTGCGACTGACCAATCAGCGTTCAGATCTCGCCTCAAGCCCGCGCTCTGATTGGCTGCCTGTTTATCTGCTGTTCACCTTTTATTCATTCTTCTGCCAGATGTATATTTACCTCCCCAGGAGAGCAGCTGCTGCTGTCTAGACATGTATTGAATTAACCGCACTCATACTTCAATTTACGCGTAGATTAAAACAAATTTACAGTGACACAAGTAGGAGTGGAAAAAAAAGTGTTAAATTTAATGTTGAAACAAGTTAGTTACTTGTTTGGACCCCCGCCCACCCACAAATACAGGGGAAATACAGGGATGCTTGCTCTGTTACGTCATCCTCATCAGCCGACAGCAATAAAGTTATGTTCAAACCATTAAAAAACAAAATTCAAAAAAATTCACCCATGAGCAAATCATCCTACATATTTTCGATGGGCTGATATTTTTAAAGTGAAATGAAGAAACACTACTGCATACTATCTTCGAGTTTTACTTTCTATTTCATGACCTTAAAAAACAGAATAAAAAATGAACAGTAACTGTGGTATGTGGCATGTGACTTTGTGACAAGGCTGGCTTCTGTGACAGGACAATGATCCAAACCAAAAATCAAAATCCACCATGCACTGATTCAACAAAGACAAGCTGAACTTTTCGGGCAGCCCTCATAGTCTCCTGACTTGAACATCACTGAAAAGCTGTGGTTAAATCTTGTGTGGGTACAGCAAAGTTAGATGCAGAACATGCAGTGTGTGAAACACAGTCTAAAAATATCTCAGAAGTTGAAGTGATCTGAAAGAAGAGTTGGTGAAAAAAAAAGACTCTTCGCAGGCCATGAAAAGCATTTACAGGCTGTGATATCTGACAAAGGGGGGTTATATTACTATTGATTTAACAGGGTGCTCAAACTTTTGCACATGCCACAATAACTGTAAATTAAAGCTCATGAAATAAGAAGTTACCCTGCATTAACATTTGAAGAAAGGCTCATATGTAATGTCTGTTTTTTTGCAGGGGTTGTATTTGTTTCTTTTTACTTCAAAAAAGAAACAAAAAACGAGGGTGCCCAACCTTTTGCAAACAAATTTTGCATGCAAGTAAAATAAAATTTCACCAGAGAACAATCATGTCTCTGTAAAACTGCTACTCAATGTTTCTCATTTGTGAAGTGAATTTCAGTCCACAGCTAAAGGATTTGCAGTATTTATTTCAATCAAATAATGTAAAAAGACTATTAACTGACTCACAGATGGATTACTGAATGGGCACAGGCCCACAGGTCTGAGGAGTCAGGTGGCCCCTGTTCCTGACCCTCTATTTAAAATGACTTGTAACATTTATTTTCAAAAAGTCAGTCAAACTAGTAGAAAGACACAAAAACGACTTAAAAAAGGAACTACAAAGAGAAAGGATAGCTGCAAAGGAAAATCTACTTAGAGATAGAGAGAAATGATGCATAAAACTATCATAACAGGACACAGTCATTGTGTGTCTCTTACAGGCTGAAGGTCTAGTTCCTGTAGGAACGGTAGGGGGCCTTTAACATATCTGTGGCCAGGGGCCCATTGTCTCATAATCTGTCAATGGATTGAGGTGATGTTGAACTGAGGAGGTAGTTACAGATAAGCCAAAATGTATGAGGGTTAATACATCCATAGCTTTTCACATTCATGACCTACATTTGAAAACGATTTGTCTCCATCTAGTGGAGAAATGAGGCAGCGCAGGGAGCCGACGCTGCCTTCACATTCCCAAAATCTCCACACACATGCGAGCAGCAGCAGCAGTCGATCTCACAGCTGATACATTTATGTCACCAGCTGACACCATTTGCAGCATCCACATGACGGCATCAGCAGGCGCCTATATTTACTTCTGGTCCAGTTAGCCGCTGCTGCCCCGCTGCAATGGAGGTAAACAGGGACGAGGCGGAGCGCTGCATTGACATTGCAACTGCGGCGTTAACGAACGACCAACCGGAAAAGGCGCAGAGGTTCCTGGAGAAGGCGCAGAGACTCTTCCCGACAGAGAAGGCCAAGGGTGAGTTAAAATGGCCGTGCCGGAGTAAAGGGGAGCTTCAGCTGGGGAGGTAGGTACGCAGCATCATCATCATCACCTGCAGCATCACCTGCATCCCGGATGAGCTCTGCAGCGCGTGCAGCCGGGGCCTGTGATAGCCCACTAGCTTTTGTGCAAAATACTGGCTACTGCATGTCATAATGTTGTCAGTGCAAGACAAATGAAACTGCCCCTGTGGTAGCTATTGCTTATCAATGAAATATCATGTACACCCCCTCAACATGAAGCAGATAAGCGTGTCAGTGACAACACTTGTTATCGGCTGCTTTTCCATTAGACAGGCCCAGGCTAGCTAAACATAGAAAGTCAGTTAACTACAGAGCAAGAGAGGGTGAGAGGGACACAAAGACCCCTGAACGTGTCATTACTCTGTTTATTGCAGGGCTGAACAATTAATCGAAATATTAGGCCTATTGAAATATGGCAAAGTGCAATATCCAATTTGCAGAAGCTGCAGGTCACAACATACCATTATAAATACAGCATTGTGGTGTTACAGAGATGTCCCATCCTACAAATACTCCCCGGGTGTGAGGAAACATGCCTGTTTGGTACAGACCCCATCAAAGATCATATAAATATTTATTTTTATTTTTTTCAGTGAAAATGAATTTCAAAAATACCCACCCAAATTGTGACCAATATCACAGTCACATATATGGTTCAACCCTATATAATATATAATATAATATCCCTAGACCTACCGTTCCAGCTCCCGACCAAGAGATACAATAATACATGTATGATACAAAATGCAGAAAAGGGAGAAATACATGCACTACAGAAAAAATGATGTGTATGAATATGAAGTTTTGAGCACTAATGTAAAGTAAGGATGCTTCCAAAAACAATGTTAAACGCAAATAGTTTTAATTTATCAATTAACTTCTTACAAAGTGCAGTAAATAGAAAAAAACCTTCAGTTTAAGGCTGCCACAGTTTCTGTTATATAACGTACATCATCTAACTGCTGTCTTTAGTAAGTCATCTGGAAAAAGGGCTCACATAAGCTACGCCTACCTACAGTCTATTGTGATGTAAATGTGCTTACTACAGCATGTTACCTACTAATGCCAAGTATTCAAGTGTAATATGCCATGATATGTACTCTCCATATGTAACAGGACCTGCCTGGTTAATCTGACCATTATCAGAGAGAAATGATCTTTCAGTCGCTCCCTCTCTATGCCTGAATATCTTTTAATGCTTACAACATTGTCTTTGTATTGGTTCTAGTACTGCTGGACCTCATAGCAAAAAATGGATTTATACCCAGACAAGGCAGCCACTCAGAGTTCAGCGGGTCCTCGGGCCCTCGACAGCGACAGACCCCCAGTGAGAATACGAGACCCGAGGAGAAGCCTTCGGACACCTCAAAATCCTACTCGGCAGATCAGCTGGATGCTGTGAGGAGGTGAGGCTGATACTCACGTACATCTGGTACTATTAGAAGGAATAGTTTACTCACCTTTTTATATGCAACCTGACATTGAGAGTCACGTGATCTCTACACAGGATAAAACAATGTAAAGACTTCTATGAAATTCTCGGGGTCCAGAAAGACGCCTCCGATGACGAACTCAAAAGATCATATAGAAAACTTGCTTTGAAATTCCATCCAGACAAGAATCATGCTCCGGGTGCTACAGAGGCATTTAAAGGTAATGAACTTTGGCTCATCACTCCAGTTGGTGATGTTAATGCAGAAAGCTAATTAGAAGCTATAATTATACTCAGTAAAAGTGTCTTTTAGCCCTTCTTTCTGATGCTTAAACATAATTTGACTTTTGAATTTCCCTTTCCAAAAGCTATTGGGAATGCATATGCTGTTCTGAGTAACGCAAACAAAAGACAGCAGTATGATCAATGTGAAGAGGAGAGGAGACATCCTTCAAGACATGGTCCAGACGATGGGAACTTCGAGCCAGATATTTCGCCTGAAGACCTCTTTAATATGTTCTTTGGAGGAGGTTACCCGTCAAGTTAGTGTCACCGTTTTTGTGTTTTCATACCAGGTTATGCTGGTCATGATCTGTCCATTAACTGCTACATATGCTACATTAATCCAGGTAATGCTAATGTGTACACTAATGGGCGGATGCGTCATCAAAGGCGAGAGAGACGAGAACGGCAGCGAGATGTGAGTTTGGTGTTATTATTAGAGCTCCTGCAGACTGCAGATATGCACATGATGTAATGTTATTGTTAAACAGCAGGGGGAGACATTGAGTTGTCTGTAATTTTACCTTCTTGAGATGCACTCTGCAATATGCAAGTCTTTTCATAGATTTTAATTTTTCTTTAAACCAGGCAGAGGGCTGGGGAATGTTTCTGAATCAGCTGTTGGTGATGTTTTCTTCGCAGGGAGGTCTTGCTCTCTTCGTGCAGGTCATGCCCATCCTCATCCTGGTTATTGTATCAGCTCTCAGTCAGATCATGGTCAACAGCCCCCCCTACAGCCTCAGCTTCAGGCCGTGAGTGCTGATCCCTGCTCTGAAAGCCTGCCTAAGAAGGATGTTATTAAATAACACAACTAACTGTTGTTTTTTGCAAAATTTTGCGAGGGATTTAGACAAAAGATTATCTAGATGTTACATAAAATTCAGCATAATCCAACCCAGGTTTTTTCCATGATGGCTAATTGTCAGATTTTCATGCAGTTTTTTTGCACAAGCTGGCAAGCAAAGAATGCTGCGTGTGTGGAAATGTCACTGATTTATAGGTTAAGCAGCAAAAAAATAGATTTGCTCTCATAGTTCTTGAAGTTATTTTAAGATAGATCCATTATATTGACTCTTCAGTTACTTGTTTGATTTCTTGATGCTGCTTCAGTTAGTTCCAAATAATCATGTTGTCTGCCTTTGTGTTTCAGATACACTTGTGTAGCTTCTGGCCCGTACGTGAGCCATTATCAGCCATGAGTCATGTTAACAGAGACAGACGGTGCCACATCTGTCATCCCTGTCATTGTCACATGGTCACATGATATGTCTCCCACACTTGGTCCTATCTTTCTGCAGGTCAGCAGGTTATACCCAGAAGAGGCTGACGGAGAACCTGAAGGTGCCATATTATGTGGGGGAGCAGTTCTCCAAAGAGTTTGCTGGAATGAATCTGAAGAATTTGGAGCGGACGGTGGAGGATGATTATATTTCTAACCTTCGCAACAATTGCTGGAAGGAGAAACAACAAAGTATGTTTGCCAGGAAAACAAATCGTGCTTATTTATTTATTCATCCATGAATATTGACTGTTGCTTCCGTCATTATCAATTCTGGGGAAAACGATTAAAAACATATTCAGATTTTTATTACACCGCATGTATCTTTCATGAATTGTTTCTGTTGTTTCCTGCAGAGGAGGGCATGCTATACAGAGCCCGCTATTTTGGAGACACTGATCTGTACCAAAGAGCACAGAGGGCTCGCACACCGAGCTGCGCCAAGCTGTCCGAGATCACAGCTTCATTACATGGTTGAAGCTGCTTCCATAATTCAAAGCAAGTTCTCTACACTACGACTTTTTTTTTTTTTCATTTCTGAACACTTTTTTTTTTTTTTTTTTTAGTGGCATGTTTTCTGTCACTCACTGTTCTCTTGTTTTTTTTTCTTGTCGTCTCCAGAGTTTCCAGAATCAACACAAAAGATGACTGGCTGTAAATAGATGAGCTTTACCAATCTGGAGACTGAAGATGACTCAACAAGCAACACAAACAGACCAGCACCAATCTGCATCAAACTGACCACACGAACTGGTTGAAACTATGAATTTTAGTATGTGAAAATTAAATGTAATGTTAATATAATGTTATGAAATGGAAAAGCCACTTAAAATAGCTTGTCCTCCTGACAGCATACGGGTTTGGAAAAAAAGAAGCAAAAAACAAACCCTCCAAGCCCAACTTTTGACTGGACCGCTGTGACGCTGGCAGAGGTCACATTATGGTTTTTTGCAAGAATGCAGTATGAAAGCAGAGCTTAGTGAGGTTAGATATTGTCGTACGGATGTCATTCATGTAGCAGTCGAGTAGATACCACAGCAAAAGCTTCCTCTTTCATTTTATGCAGTCAGATCAGTGGGGGGGGGTGAGTTTTAGGGAGATTTGCTGATTTGACTTCAAATGCACATTCTGAAACTATGCAGGAATAATGTGAAACCTCTGATGAATATACACTCATGTCTAAGGTTTGTCAGACATACGAACACTGAGATTTGTCGTCTTCTGCTATATGTGTGTGTGTGTGTATGTGAGATCATAAGGAGATGTCCCTTTACACTTTGCCTCCCTTAATTGTATTAAGGATAGAATTATCAAATGTAACTTGATGGCACTTCACAATAAATGCCAAGAGAATGAGAGACGTGCCTACCCACAAAGTGGGGCTTTAACAGGTTGTAGTTTTGGAGCGTGATGTCTCATCTGTTGGAAAAAGCAGTCTTTGTCACACTTTTTAAGTTTATAGTAGGCTATTTATTCTCTGTATTATTTATCTTAAAAAAAAAAAAAAGGATTATCAAACCAGTACAGATCTTGCTCACTTTTTCCACCATGTTTTTACTCCCAGATGAAAATAAATATGGATGCTTAAAACATGTTGGAAGTGGCTCATGACTCCGAGCAGAACGAGAACAGAATGTGGAAATGAAAGCTCAGTCAGAAACATTTAGCGCATAAGAACTACCGACTTGGCTGGACCGACTGAGACGGGGAACTGGAAACACGGCTCTTCACACGTTTCAGCAGACGTGCAGCATGTGCCCGGCAGGAACTGCAGCGTCACATTCTTTCACCGCAAATGTACTCAGCTGTGTTTGGCAGATGTTGCACCTCTGCGGTCTGTTTTTGACTTGCGCACTTTTCGTCAATTTTGTGCATGATATGGCTGGCTCATGTTCCTGTCAGCTGATCTGTGTGACAATACAGCTGAATATTATTCCTCAGTTTCCCATTATTTCTGTGTGGGAGAAAAACTTGTTCTTTTAATAATATCCACAATTTCCATAGGAAACATGAACTTGGATGTAAAACTACAAATGGATCATCTGAATCCGACAGATTTCATGAAATAAAAACAGAAAAGAGAATTGTTAAAAAAATAATTTATTTGCAATCATGAAAGTACAAAAACAGTGCAATGTTATGAGTATTTGAATATCAAATAAATAAAGTCGAAAGCAGGACTGGTCTACACAGATACAGGATGAAGTTACATTTGAAATATTAGCCACAGCTTACACTTATACTGCACAAGGCAAGCACTGGTAAGCCTTTGCTCTTGAATTCAAGCAGTCACTAAGGTCCCTAATGGTATGCTTATAGTACAATTCATCACTTGGAGTACAATTCAGTTCATTGCCTTGTAAAAAAAGAAGAAGAAAAGAACACTGATCTTCAATGACTATAACCATATAGCTAGCTGCCATCATGTGGTTTCAATAGAAACTGAGGTACGCACTTTAATACTCGCAAAAATGCCTATTTACCGGATATAGCATGATGGTTACACATTTGTAATTTCAAATCTGAATGTCAATGAACAGCAGCGCACTGCTGCAGGTACCATAAACTTCAACTCCCTTACAGTAGGAACAATTGGCAACATCATGACGAAGTCCATCCTTGCACTTCAGAAGGCATCACACATACAGTAATAGTAATAAGGCCCTTCTGTGACATTAACTGGGCGGCCACTCGCACTTCTCAACATTCCTCGATGAGCAGTTCTTCAGAACAATACAGTTTCTTCTTTATCACACGGAAACCAGTACTAAGTTTAATAGCTTGTCTCACTACTGGAGTGGAAGGGGACTTTGAGCTAAAAAGTCCTTGGATTTTGGGCCACAGCCCACCAGACTCTAGCCTCAACACCAGAGTCAGCTGAAAGGTGGGGACAAGGTAGGGGTCCACCGATAGCTGTCCCATGCTCTCACAGACAGCCCCTTGCTCAACACAAAGGTCAATGAGAGCCCCTCTTAAACCGCAGGGCTCACTAGCTGCCAGGTGAAGGAGCTCCTGTCCGATGTGCTCCAGGAGTTTCTCGGGAATGAGCAGCTTGGTACATCGTAAGGCGCACTCTGAGTCTTTGGCATCTCTTAAGCTTCGTGCGATAAGGTCCACTACTTCTTTCAGGATCATCTCCTCCATTGGATTGTAAAACAGGTCTTCATTGGAGGGAGACAGGTCACTGGAGATGTCTGACCCTGTTGAAAAGACACACTGGGTTAGAACTGCAACCATGCATGAAGACAAGGATCAAATTCACATCTCCAATAAAGACTGTTAGATGCATTTGCAGCACTGCTTACCTGAGTCTGAGAGATCACTCCTGCTGCCATTGTTGTACCCCAGCTCAATGCTGCTGTTGGAAGATGTGCTGAAATCCGTCAATCTTTGCACCAGCTTGCCCCAGGACAGCCTCCTGGGGCTGCTGTCCACTGGAGAAGGGGGTGAGCTGCTGGTATCAGTGGGTGCAGAGAGAGCAGGCATGTTTGTCCTCTTTGCAGTTGCTGCTTCTGTGGTCAGCTGTTTATGAGGAAACAAGAACAACAGATGAGCACTGAAAACTCGGGATGAACGACAGTAGCAGTAAAAATAAACGTAATGAAGACACATTTTAAGTTAAGCTGGTTTAAGAGTGTATGAACAGCATAAGTTTACAGCAAGAATATCTTTGTTTGGAGGTAGCTTGCAGCTGTTTAACTGCTCAAATTAGCTACAAAGCTAGCAAAAAAAATGTTAAATTTGACATCATACTTACAGCTTCTTCTAAAATGGCGCTGTTCAGGTCCGTTATCTGTGTTGAAGACAGTTATTTGGATGGTTATTGTCTGCTAAAACAACTGTCTGGAAACTTCTTACCCCTACGCTCGCACTATCTCACACCAGCTGCCAAGCTCTGCGATCTGTCCTGCAACAATGTATATATAGGAGCTGCTAGGGCCACGCCCACGCCCCTCCAGTCAGCCAATCAAAAAGGGAGGCACGCCATCTGACCTGTATCCTGCCTGGTAACATGCCAGCAGAGAAGAAGGACAAACACTAGGAAGAGATGGGGGGATGGGGTGATGAATAACAGATCCTAGCGTTATGGAAATGTACAGGGACTTGCCTGGGCTTGCAAGGATCATATTGTATTTCTTTGTTTAATATCCCGCATAAGCATAAATAAATACCTCTGGTGAGTGCGCACTCGGATTATTGACTGCATTGATTAAAAGTCCGTGCAGGCAAGGCTCAGCTGGTTCAGTGTTGCAGTGCACATTACGTCACCTGTTTTGCTGAACCATTACATCAGATTTTTTCATATGCCACAAAGAGATGCAAACACAGTCAGCTGCAGCTGGATACTTGATAAAATGCTAATATTTTATGTCCATAAAGATGTATGACAGGCATTTATCTTCCAATAATACAACAATGAAAACATGCAGGAATAGGAAGCTGATACTATTGAATTATTTCTCTAGCATTTATTATTGTTTCAAATATGTTTTGGTGCTATCAAAGAAATGCTGCAGGAAACAATTGTAGTGCAAAGCAGAAACCACTGCTATGTCTGTCTGGCAGTTCCATACTGTACCTGACATACTCAATGTTTGCTCAAAGAAAAGTTTTTGGAAAGCTGCCAGACATATGCTGCGTTGCTACACGTGAGTGGGATGGACTGTATTTTATGTCAGGGAGGAACAGAAAGACATAAACACGTGTAGGCACAGTATGTTCTGAGGGAGATGTTATGAATTGGAGTCATCATCGCAAAGTTTTTGTTGGGGGAAAAAAATGTTTGTTCCTTTTTTTTTTCTTACATAGAGAGAACATCGACTAAGGTTACATTCCTCTGCAACTCAAGGAAAAACACTAAAACTTCTGAGAACTATGAGCAAACAACTTGTTAAGTTAAACAATTCATTTTACAACACACTTTCTAGGAAACTAGAATGAACAGTTATAAAATGAACTATTGAACTTTTAGAAGGAAATTTAAGCTCCAGCTAGAGGTGTGTCTTCTAATGTCCAGGGCCGTCCTCAGAGCAGTACATTCTGTACGTTCCCACCCCTCATTTGTTTGAAAACACTCATTCCCCAAGCAAAACACCGAGATCTGCACGTTTCCTCACTGTACACAGTGTACACACCGCAGAGACTTGAGGTGGAAACAATCACATCAGTGAGTTTCAGAGGAACATTTTCAGCAACAGATATGCAAATTGAGACAACGGAAAACAAAACCGCACAAAGATTTAATTGTCTAGCAGCAACATAACAGAAACAAAATAGTAGTTGTGGGTTGGGACTAAAAACTATACAACACCAAGAAAAACAAACAGCAAGAGACCCAAGAAATGTCCAAGTATGACTTTATTTACAAGCTCTCTTTGTTTTCTCTCAGGGCTGTTGGAACAAGCAGCAATGAGGACCCGCACAGAGAGGAGGATAGACTGAACAGGCACCAGGTTTTCAGAGTTATGAGTTACAGTGCAGCCATGTGAAAACACAATGCCTCACTTCAAGAGATTAATTACTTTACCAAAGATATTTTTTTGCCTGAGGCTTAGAGCAGATTGGACTGGCAGAACACTTTGTCTTAAACCAGCTGAAAAATCTATTAACAGCCTATTACAAAACTTTAAATTGCTTAGTTATTAATATAAGATTTTTTTTTTTGTTGACAAGGGTTTATTATGGTATGCTGGGTCAAATATAACAAGCTGTTTTTAAAAAAGCAAACCATACTTGTACGATTGTAAAAGTGACAAAATAATACATCTCACATTCAGTATCTCCAGATAACATTTCACATTATATCGAATAAAACCATAGAGGAGGAATATAATTTATGAACTGATATAATCCGTCTCCTTCCCTTTTCCTTATATTTGGCTGATTTATTAACCAAAGGCATCTTGATCTCTTTATTTATGACGGTGTGAATCCCAATAGCTGTTCAATGGGTTTGTACCGCCACTCATCTGCTTCCAGCTCCTCCACCAGGCTTGCAAGTTTCTCCATTCGAGACACTTGTTGATCTGGAAGAACACAAAACAGTTACTTAATCAGGGCACTAGTCTTCATTGGACCAAGCAAAAATAAACAAATTTTGCATGTACAGTTACTGGCTTACCATGTTTAACCTGTTTGAGTGTTGAGGCAACTTGGTAGCTGAATACAGACTCACATAAAAATCTGTCAGATCCGTCTAAAAAGAAACACAAAAAAGTTAGGAAGTTAAATGAAAACATTTCTTTACCCTTGTAAATATGTCAAAATGAGGCCTTTGAGCTACTTTAGAAAGAGAACTTCGGGTTAAATATTATGTAAATTCAGCATTATGTAAAAGGGCTATTCAGAGTGTTGAAATAGTTAAATACTAATGACACAAAAACAAGAAAACAAAGAGGAACAGCTTGAGACCTTCAGCATGACTGCAGTCCTATTCATTACTTTGTTGGTTGTTTTTAACCTTGCCGCACTCTGCTGCCAAGCTAACCACGTTAATTAGTGTATTTTCAGCTGCATAGGCAACAAAGAAGGAGTAATAGAACCAGATGGCCTTTCACTCCCATAAACAAATCCTATGTGCAGGAGCAATGAAGACATAGTGAATGAAGTAAAGAGGGTGGACAAGTACACTTGGCTGCTGGCTTAACATTAGCTTTGGGTAAAGCACAAATACACATGTTCAACTAGAGTTTGGCTTGTATGCATCAGTCAGAAAAACAGATGCTTACATAGCTCTGTGACTTGTCCATAAGCCTCAGCACTGAAATGATGATGAAAAATTAAAAATGATGATTGCAATTGCATGACAGCCACACACTGTCAGGGACTAACTTATTTGGCCCAGTCTCTCTCTATGTAATTGTATGATTTCGATATTAATTAATTTTGTTTAAACTTTATTTAATCAGGTAGTCTCATTGAGAGTTATATCTTTTAAGAAAGACTTGAGAACAAGAAAAGCATTCAGACAAACATACAATTAGCAAACAGAAATAACACAACTAAGACACATCTAATAAAAACATTACAAGAGTCATATAAGACATCCAACAATAAAGGTCAAAAATCTCCAACAGGTGTGAAGGCCTCTAGTTTAAGAGTGGTTTGCAGTTCATTCCATTTAAAAAGGTACAAAGCCACAAAAACCTATTCTGCCAAGATTAATGGGTAAATAAGGAATATCTAAGGTTAGGTATTTGCTGGGTCATGCACTGTAATTGCAGGATTTCAATGTTAAAAGAGATGTGAGGTGGTTTGGAGGTGTTAACAGTAGAAGCTTTATAAATGAATATCATAAGTTAATTATTTCTTCTTGTCTGTAAGGAAGACCACCAAACTTTGTGATACAGGGAATAATGATGAGTACAAATTTTGACGTTAGGTGATAGAACATAAAGCACTATGATAAACAGGATTCAGCTGCTGAAATAATGATGGGACAGTATGAAAGCACAGAATGTCTCCATAATCAGGTACAGACATTAAAGACAAAGACAAAAAGTCTTTAATTCAACACAGGAAACTAAATTTGATTTCTAATTTTTGAATCGAGTGTTGAATATGAATCTTAAAGTCAGTCTGCTGTCCAGCCTAATTCCTTGGTAATTTGTATGGCTCAGCAAGAGTGATATCCCCCACATCCCCTGCCTTGTTGGGAGGAGAGAGATAGCTTAAGTCTTAAGATGAGTGTCTAATCTTACCTTCCATCATTTCACCTGCTCCTTTGGGATATGTGTACAGGACTTTCCTTGGGGGTATGAGCTCTGAAGCACTGAATCCAGAGCCAGTGACTGAGCTGCCACTCACACCTCCCGCAGAAGAGGACGAAGAAGACGCTGCCATCGCCTTAGGAAACTGTAAAAAAACAAACAAACAAAAAAAACAAAAAAAAAACACACACACAAAAGGCTCAGGAAGGCAGTTGAGCTTAACCAAACCAGCTTGCAAACGTTAATGTTAGCAGGTTTGAGGTACAATCAACTGCTACAACTACTGGGTGGCTAGCAAGAAAGCTAACTATCCTGCTAACACCAATGACGACAATAGCCATTCACCGTTAGTTATTAGACACAACGTGGAAATAACTAACCTGTTTTCTAACAGTATGACTTACCGACGATATCCCAGTGAATATATAATGACTTTAAATCCACGCAGTTGTTTCTGTTGTTTGTTTGTGTACTTGGCTTCCTTCTAGTTTACGACAAAGACAGCATTTTACGTTTCAAGCGCTGGTGTGCTCGCCACAGATTTCACGACGATGTGGCTAGATCGCTAGCATCAGTTTTCACAGAGTGGATGTTTATTTCCGTTTCTGTGTCTACTAACACGCAGCCAACGTACCACTGATATGTGAACGCCAACCGACTTGAACGTTACGACGCTGAAGTCAGACTCCGATTCGACAGTTAAGGGGTAAGGGAATCGGTCCCTCCCTTGGCAACCGATTGGGAAGCTAACTTCAGCGTAGTAAAGTTACATGTACCCATAAACTGTATTCAAATAGCTAGCTAGCTAAACTAGCAGTGAGCTACTCAGACACTTATCTATATTGTTACTTATCTTAGGTTTAGCTAACGGCATCAAGTTTACATTATGGAGGTTTTACGTCCAACTATTATCAATTTAAATGGAAGAATGTACCGAAAAAATATCATTAAGGAAGAACATTATGAGGAAGAAGAGGATTTCTCCTACGTGGGGCAACAAGGTTGGTCAAGTGTTAACAGCTAGAATACATATACTCTTGCAAGTTTATTAGATACACCTTGCTAAAACGAATGCAGTGTAATTCTGCTGTCCTGCAATAAATGCCCCATTAAGGTTATAATGTTCAGTTTGTGTTTAAACTGTGTTGATTCAACTGTATGGTTTTGGTGGCAGGAGTCTGTGGTGCTGTTGAACTGTACTGTATTGTACAAAGTATCTGTGTCTGTCTGTTGTTTAGCCTAACCTCAATGATTTGAATGGGTTGGACAAAATAGTAGGAACACCTGTCAACATAACGCATTGCAGTTCAACAGCATTACTGAATACATCCTCCAAAATGAATATACAGTTTGAACAAAACCTGAACATTAAAACTTTGATGAAGGAGAATTGAATGCAGATCTGCTGTGTCAGACTGCATTAGTTGCATTAGACTACGATGTTGTCAGGCTGTAGCCACAATAATATAATTGTAAGTTTGTGATTTACCATATTTAGAGAGTGAAGACCTAGCAGAAGATGAAACCTGTGATACCCACTCAATTGATAAGACTGATAAAGGATACCGCTGTGCCATTGATGTCCCAAGTGTTCTTTACAAGTGAGTTATCTGCAAAATGCATATAAAGTTTTGTTTCTAAGCAGCGTAATGGGAGTTCATGTTTCCTTGTTTGCTTCATTGTTCCTCAGATACATCATTGGGAAAAAAGGAGAGACACGCAGACGTCTAGAGTCTGACACAAAGACATCTATCAGCATCCCCAAACAAGGAGTGGAAGGACAGATTGGTGAGGATTAAGAGCAAATCTAGCCATCATAAAACAGTTGCGAGAGCATGCTTTGAAAGGATTTTCTGTCAACTTTCTTCCATCTTCTAACAGTTATCACAGGTTCCCATAAAGCTGCAGTCTCGTCTGCAGTCACACGAGTTGAGGTCCTTATCGAAAGTTTCCGGAGAAAGCAGCCTTTCACGCACTTCCTGTCATTCCCTCTCAATGATCCCAAAGTTCAAGAAGGATTCCTGCAGTTTAAAGACGATGTGTTGCAGCAGTGTTCACAGGTATATAATTATATACCATATCCAATTTCACAACAATGAACTGTGATTTCCTTTTATTTTCATTTCATTATTTTCCATTTTGTATTACTTTACTTTTGCTCTATTTTTATTCTTATTCTTCTGTGTTGCATTTGTGGAGCAAACGCTAAGACACATTCTTTGTATGCTTGCTTGATTTGGAGGCACTATTGAAAGAAATGTGAATATGAATAGTGAAAATGAGGGGCAGTGATGGCCATGTATTGTTGTAGATCAACAAATTATACTGTTAATAAATGATATGTTCACAAATTGTTGTAACATCATGTGTAGGATCATGGAGTAGAGGGAAGCATCTTTCAGAACCCTGCAAAGCTTCACCTGACAATCGGCACCCTGGCCCTGTTAAATGAGATGGAAGTGAGAAAAGCGTGTGAGCACCTCCAAGAGTGTCAAAACTTCATCAGGTAGGGGCCAGACTATGTTATTATATCATACTAAGATTTTAACCATGTAACTAAAAAATACTGTCTTCATTTGAGATTAAAACAAGACTTAATTGAAATTACTGCTTTAAATGATAGGATGGTTGATATTCTATATTTTGCTTATTGTTACAAAGCCCATGAAAACAAAGAACGAATTAATTCTGCTAACAAGTATTGCCTGTGAAGCCAAAGCTTGATATAACTTCCTTTCTATCACAATATGCCATTGTCTGACAGACATGTTCTTTCATTACGATCAACATGGACACTTTAGTATTTTCGTAGTAAATCCCACATACACCTTTCTGCTCCTGTAAATACTCACTCGGGCACCAAATCCACAGTTGAAAGTAGTCCCCAACAAATACAGTATTTACATCATTCATAGGATTTGCTAACATTAAGGAAAATAAAGATTATCACCCGCTTTATCCTTAAAGATAAAGATTGTATTAGATGTAATTAGATTGGATTTGATTGTGTAGATTAGATAAGGTCACAGTTAATTGTGAGATTCTGCTAAAAATCTCTCTGGTTTTACAAGCCAGCTCTGTTGTACATACACAGCAAAATAAGATTTCACAGACAGCTGCTGTGCATTCCATCATTTTGCTTAACCCTTGGTGTAAACACATCAAAAAAACCATAAAATAAATTGTAGAGTCAACCCTAAACTATAAACCTGGTGTGTGAGTGCACCGCATGAGTGTGCTTTGTGTTGTCTTTCATCAGGAACATCACAGAAGGAAAACCTCTGCTGTTGGAGGTGACAGGTATAGAGTACATGAATGATGACCCAGCCATGGTGGATGTCTTGTATGCCAAAGTCAATGTGAAAGACAGATCTGACAAGTGAGTGCAACAGCAGCAAATCCTGTGAAGAAACAAATCAATTTAAAAGGTTGACACATCAGTGTTTAAAAATGTTCCTGCTGCTTGAATCTCTGTTTCTGTTTCTGTGTTTTTTCACACTTTAGGTTGCAGACGATTGCAGACCAGCTGGTAGAGCACTTTGTCTCTAAAGGGCTGATGGTCAGAGAGTGGGACAGAGTGAAGCTGCATGGCACTGTGATAAACACGCTGTTCAGAAAGGACTCCACAGGTAAAAACATTACATACACATGACGGGCTAACCATCACTAATGCAAACAGCTTCTGAGCCTGTAGCTTGTATGAAAACAAACCTGTTGACCTGCTGTGATCACATTGGTAGCTCCTACCCTGAACCTATTTGCCAATGTCCCCTTATTATCTTTTTGGCTTGGACGGGAGCTGCAGTGACGACAAAGCTGAATCTTGAACAATTACAGCTACAAATTCCTGCGGAGTGGCAGCATAGGGCAGCTACTTCTGTGTTTGGCCACAGCTCTGTTTATGTGCACAAAGCAGCGTGTTTTCCAAGTACCGTGACAATGGCTTCATTCATTTTTGCCATGGATCAAGTCCAGCCCCAGTTTTTCAAATTTGTACTGGGCTGAGCAACAACACTGCTCAAGAGAGGGGCCATGTCACTGCTGACCATGTTTACCAGCATGAGGACACATCCTACTAAAAATTCAGTGTTTTTTTTTCTCCTTAGTACCTGTTTCCCAAGCTAATTTCACAAACTAACTGATCTTTGCTCTCACTTTATTATTGTACTACAACTATAAAACTGTATCAGGAAGTAAATATGTTTATTTGATCAAGAGCAGAGCATATCTGTATTTTTTTGTCCTATGCTTTATTGTTGAGCTTGTCTTTTACTCTGGTGTTTTTCCAGTTGAAGACACAGGCGGCCCAGGAAGACAAACCATGAGTGAAAGAGAGGCTTTTGATGCAAGAAACATATTAAAGGTTAGAGGAAATTTACCCCTGCCTGCCTTTTTAAATGACAAAATTATAACCATCCAGACTTTTGCTCACTGCTTGACAGCTGCTCTCCCACATATACCAGATAACAAATTGCGTATGAGGATTATTAAGTAGTTTTTAGCTATAGTCCAAATGAACAACATAAACATGGCTTTACTTAAAAATTCCTTAAACACCCTTTATTTGATCATTGTGATCAATTCTTAGAAGTGCAACCCAAAATTTGAAAACATAGCAAAGGTAAGCTATGAGAGAAATGAGAAGTGGTAAACTAAAACATTCATGGAATTGAACTAGAGCTCTGTTGCTTTATCAAAGCAGCTGCAGTGATATTGCACCATACTGATCCAACTTTGTCTGCATATTCCACATACTGTATTTGGATTTTTCAACTGTTCTTGACATTTCCACTGCCTTTGGAGTCCCACTGGGATATGTGAGCTTGCCAGCTTATAGGTCTTTAAACAGAGAGATGTAGGTCTTTGGTTAGAGCAGCACAGAAGCATGCACAGAGGATAATCAGGTTCACTTGGGGGCTGATTTCGCTCTTACCGACTATTGCAAAAGGTTTCGAGCTGGGACTAAATAATTGTGTTCCCAGATCAGGTGCAGCGTTGGCTATTTAATTAAATGATCTTCTAGAAGCTAGTCATGGTTGCCTGGATTTCAGAACAGAAATAACATTGATGACTGTCTCCTCCTGTCTGTAGTAGTGGGGGAACACTGATTCGTTCTAGTTTATTATGAGCATAATGAGCAGTTGTGAGATGGTCTGTTTTGCCTAAAACTCCCACATTGTAGGTTCTACTGAGGGCAGTACATGTCATCAGCCGTCATTACAGTGTTGTTTCTCCCTAGGTCCTCTGCTGTGTGACAGACATTAGACTCTCAGTATTCATTATGGCAAGTACATGTCAGCTGACAAGTCAAGGAATTAAATATTATGTTAGGCTACATAAAAATGCAAAACTTGCAAATTAATGATTGAGGAAGTGATCAAAACAAAGGTCAGGCAGATCTACTACACACTGACATGAAGTAGGTAGTCAGTTGTGAGTTCATTTTCCTTTGTTGATGAGTAATTTTTACTCATCAATCATCAATTTTTACTCTTCTTCACAATCAATCCTTGTTTGTTTAACATTCAACTCAAAGTCCTAAAGTATTGGATTCTAAAAATCTATTACCTGACAGTGAAAAGTCTGAAATATATATTTATGCTAGAGAAGAACTAGTCTGTACGATGCTGCTGTCCGAAAAGCGTTTACAATTGTTCTGAGCAGCCACAGTTGAAGGCAGAGTGAAAAGAGAGAGAGAGGGCGAGACACAAATATTGTTTAAGTATTGGGATAAGAGGGCATAATATGTCCTGGAAGGAACTCATAGCGTCACTTTCTGTTGTATAAGAAATAGTTGTGTAACCAATGGAAAAAGAGAGCTTGAGAGAGAAGCTTATTTTCTCACCTCCGCACAGCACACCAGTCGCTGTGTGAAGTGGGTGTGAGTGCGGATTGTTGGTTTCACAAAGTTATAGAAATTGTCGGACACAGCCCATCCAATTCCAGCATCAGAGAGGTGTCCTGAGAAGCTTTTCTCCTGAGTGTACCTCTTCACAGTATATTGATTAAACCAGTTTTTTGTCCTTTATACACCTATAAAGTTCAAAGAGGAGAGTTTTGATTGATTTTCTTTTTCAAAGAAACACTTAAAGGCAGACTATAAAATGTTCCAGATGCTTTTTCTTTGTGAGTGAAATTGACACTGCAGATAGAAAACTCTGAAATTCACCTTCCTTTCTTCTTTGATGCAGAGGTCTTCTCTGTTTGAATACCAAAATCCTTGGTTTTCTTTTCTTCTGTCTGAAAATGATACAAGGTTGCCTAGCAAGTGCTCAGTCATCTGTAACCATGGCAACGCCATTTTTGTGACTGACAGCTTATCTTCTTTTCTCCAAAGAGTTTAACAACTGGGGTCGACTTTTTAAATGTTTTCTAAATCATGCAGTTTTTTTCGCCTGTTATTGGGAAGATGCATTAAATGTAATTCAGAATTTGCTAAAACGATGATGAAGTTTTGTATTATTGAAGTTTTTCATCATATAAAGACATTTGCTGTTTTGATTACAGAAATTTGGTGCTTATCGTTTTGGAGAGTTTGAGCTGAACACTGTTCTGCTGTCCCAGAGATATTCGACAGACTGTACGGGCTACTACACCTCTGCAGGGAGCGTCAACTTCTCATGAGCTGCCACAGAGCTGAGCCTATTCTGAGGTAAGAATTTAAGTTAAATAATAAAGAAATAAAATTTCTAGTTTAGAACACTGATTCAGACTCCTCTGTGTTGTCCAGTAGGTGGCAGTATAGGATTTTTAAAAATTGCAGATAACTTGCTACACCTGAACCTGTATCTGAACCAATTTCTCTGTTTTATAAAGTCCATTGAAAGCAGTTTATGGGGCAAAATAAAATGAGTGCAGAGTGCAGAATGATTGAAATGTCAGACTGAAGCTCATTCTTAAGATAAAAATGCATGCAAATCCATTCTGAAATACTCTAGGCAGTGGAATTTGTGTTTTTGTACTTTAGTCTCCAGACATTTGGTTCTCTTCAGGGAATCTGAGTCAAACAACATCAAAGTAAATGACAGAAAACATATTTTAATGGAAGAGAGAAGCAAAAAAAAAAAAAAAAACTTCACAGTTCACCCTACTTTTGTCTTGACAGAGAACAAACTTGCAAAGAATGGAAATGTTTCATTTTGCATGGGAATCCCATTCAAATAATGTTTCCTTGTAGGCAATGTTGTTCTGTTAGAGGAGGATCAGGGCTATAGATTTAGTTGATAGAGCAGCTGTGTGTATGAAATTGGATTGTTGACATAAGTCGAGTTAGATTTGGGAATAAGCTTTAGATCAGTCTTTTTACATTGTCATTTGAGATGTAACAAATATATAATGACCGACACTTTATTGAACACAGTGGTGAAATCTAAGTGTATTTATACTTAAGTACAAATTTTAGATACTTGTATATGAGTATAACCATTTGTTCACCATAAACCTCCACTCATCTACATTTCAGAGGCAAATATTGTACTTCACACTCCACTACATGTATCTGACCGCTACAGTCACTTTGTAGATCAAGATTTTACATAGAAAACCATCTTATCTTTCTTTAGCCCATCCTGGCTTCTGTATTTTTATAAGCTCTGACTTTTACGAACAGATTGTAAGAGTTAAGCATTTTATGATTGAGCTCATGTGACATTCACAGGCACAAGTCATAATAGAAGTTTCAAAAATAAATTGTGAGCCAAACCAGAAAGCTTTTATAGCTGCTGAAACATGCTGCTTGAGTTTCATGCTGATCAGATCTCATCCACACACTACTGGATAATAAGTATTACCCATTTCCTTTCATCCCACTGCCTCATGAATGTGTTAATGCGTCACTGACATGATTTATTATACCAGCCTGGGTTTTCTTTTTTTTTCCAGTCTTCTTTATCAGTGCCCTTCCCACACGAGCCGCAACCTTGTTCCCACTCCCGTCTGTTCAGTGTGTCAGTGAATACAGACATCGGACACAGAGCCTGGCCACTTGCTCTTGCCGTCAGAGCTTTTTTTTTCAGCCCTACCCTCAGCTGCCGATGCTCTCTGCTTGGCATGCAGGAGGGCGGTTGCCGAGCGGCCAAAAGTTACACTGATGGAAACTGAGGGCACTTTTTGTTTGTCAGCTCTGCCATCCCATGCTGTCCACCCTTCCATTTCAGCCATGGCTTGATTTATTTTTTTCCTATGCTCCTGGAGCTGTGTCAACAACACCATTAGATGGGGACATGCAAATTTCATCATCGGAAAACAGCCAGCCAGCCAGCCAGCCAGCCAGCCAGCCAGCCAGCCAGCCAGCCAGCCAGCCAGCCAGCCATGCATTGACTGTTGCGCTGTCTGGGCATATAATTTATCTTTTCAGACCCAGAAAAAGGGCCTAATTATCCACTCCCTGTCTCCTGAGAGCATGCTTGTTAGTGGGTCAGGAGTACACATCCAGCTTAGTGCCACTCTCAGGTAACCAATACAGCAAGGTTTCTGGGAATTGCCAATACTATTGCTCATAAGAACACAGAGAGAGAGAGAGAGAGAGAGAGAGAGAGACAGAGAAGAGGGTTTGCAAGTTAATGAAATTCACTGAGATTGTCTATCCTTGTATTTTATTTATTTTTTTTGGCAGGGACATGATTAAGGATGCGTTGGGCAGATGTCCTTGCTAATGATCGCAATGAAAACACACGTGAAAGACACATAAGTCATCCACAGACAGACTCAGACACTCAAGACAGATTGAATTTGTCAGGAGATTTCAATAGAAGATGTTCGCACTCTATGTTTATTTAAATTGGCATATGTGTTTGTTGCATAGATCAGGAACATATTGGATAATCAGTCACAACTGGAACAAGTCTAAAAAAGTTTAGTCAAAAAAAAAAAAGTCAAATAATAGTGAAAAATGTGAAACATTTATAAGCACTGTACAACATTTGATAAAAGGTTTATAACACACTATAATCTAGTTGTAAGCAGCTGTAAGAACATTTTAAGTGTTTTGTTCACTGTTGGGAACAATAATAACATCTCCGATGAAGACACGACATTTACTGTATTAGTATTTATTTTGTCGTTTATACACCAGCATCCCACTATGGGTGTCCAAATGAGGAGTTATAGTTGATGACAGATGTATTAATAAACACACAACATTATAGTGTGTTATAGACCATTGCTTGAACATTTATATATTGCTCATAAATTCTTAAAGTGAAGTGAAAATGCATCTCATCATTTTTTCCAGAGCCCAAGGTGACATCTTTAAATCATTTCTTTTGTGTGACTAACAGAGGAAAACTCAAAGACATTTAATTTACAAAGATACCAAACAGAGAAAAGCAGTAAATTCTGACATTTGAGTGTTGATAAATGACAGAAACGATGATCGTTTCAGTTTCGTTGACACGATTATGCATTTTCCTCACATTCTAGTTCAATTTCCCCAGATTTGTATGAAGCAGAATGGTTTGGATTGATTCTTGACAAAATCATGTTGCTATGCATGTCTGTGTGGGTGAGCTTGTTTAAGCACTGCCCGACATACATCTCTTCTTCTTTTTTTTTCTGTCTGTCCCTGCCACATCTCTCAGCCTAATTAGTCAGCTCTGTGCTTCCTGCTGTGGGAACTTCCAACATGACCCTTGAGACTTCGAGACTAGCATGTGTCCCTTTCAATAAGCCAGATAAATAAGACCTCTGTGTCTGTTCGTGTTACTGCTGACCTATTTCCTCTGTGAATTTGTGTTTCTGAATTTCTGAAGATCTGAGGAGACACAGGAGCTGGATTTTAATTAAAATGTTAAACAGTTTAGTTGTCTTTGCAGGCGTGTGTGCATTTGCTTGTTTACATGCACTGATGAATCAAATACGTTTTGAAGGCTGCTTCACTATAGCCACTGAAAACAAGCCTTTACAATGTAAAACCAAAAGCTGGAAAAAACTTTCCAATTTATTTAGTTTTTTCAAAAAGTGAAAGCAAATGCAGTCACTTATATGAGCCTATATCACTAAAAACTTGCAGTGCACCATTCAGTAATGAGAATTCATATCATGTTTGGTAACTGGATTCGTGTGTTATCACAGCCAAGTATTGTTTTGGCCTCTATCCAATTTGCATATTTAATTTCATGCCCGTTTTCAAAGTAGCCTTTTTGATGCAGAGGCTGTTTGAAATAGGTCTTGCTTGATCAATGTCAAACTTTTTTTTTTTTTTTGCACATTTTGAGGGTTGTGATATTCAGAACCGCACTATGCAATTTTTCATAGTGTAATTAGAAATTAAGCTTTCACTCAGGAGGACTGACATTAACATTTGCCGGGAGAAAAAGATGGTGCTTGACAGACGTGGCCTTGTAATCAAGTAGATATGTTTGATTTGCATACTGCGGTTTGTTTGAATTTCATGATATGTTTGGTTTGCATGAAATCAATTAAGTGCATAATAGCTTTATAAGGTAATGGTAAGTTTTACCCACATGTGCCTTAAAGCACGAATGTTGATCAGGTTCATTTTGCATAAAATATTTTAATTCAAAGCCAATTAAATGAAAGGAACAAACTCTTGGTATCATGTTTTCTTTTTAACAAGCTTGAATCTTGAGTTTGTTTTAAGGAGGTATTTGATTGATCAAACACATCTATCCACGGGAAGTTACAAAGGTGCCCTATAAATGATCCAGCCAGACAAAGCCAACAAATCTTTCGAATTGAATATCGTTAGCTGTGAAGTATGACAGCGTGCCTTTCTTTTGATTGTTCTCTTATGTTGGATGTGAATATCCAGTCAAGTGTCAGTGCCGTTTGAATTTCACACTAATCACTCTGTCACTAATGGCATGAGTGGCCTTGATGTACAGCCAAGGCTAGAGTATTTGAAATGTCTAATCTGTGTCTCCAGTGAGAAGGCAGGTGATCCCTGCAGCAGCTCTTTATCATTCAGAGTGCTGCGTCTGGAGGCTGCCTGCAGCTGTCCATGTCTGTTTACTGCTGGAGGCATTCACACAGGGAGGAGAGGCGCAAAGCCGAGTGTGTTTGAACAGCAGGTAGTCATTCAGAGCTGCTGTTTACTTTATGTACGCCTCGCACAATAAGAGTTTAAAATAGGGCTGCAACAAACTTTCATTATCCATTAATCTTTCTTACCTGTTTTTTGATAATTGTTTAATCCGTAAAATGTTACTACTGAAAAAGGCTCATGACAATGTCACAAATTGCTCGTTTTGTCCAACCAACCAATGCGCAGAAACAGCAGGTAGAGAAGTAGCAGACCTTCACATTTGAAAGTCTGTAACTGGTGAGTGTTTGGCATTTTTGCTTGATAAATTGCTTAAATTATTGTTTTATGTTTTATTAAAATCTTTGGTTATCCACCAAAGTATCTACCAATACAAGCTGTTTGCATAGCAATGCCAACATAAAAACTGTACAGGTCTTTTTTAGCCACTTGTGGGCAGCAGAACGAGCTGCGTAAACAAAAATAAGAACATAATTGTCATCTTCTAGAGATGTGGTAAACATGGTGGCGAACAATTGCCTGTATACACACCCAGCAGTTACGTAGCAACATTAGCATTCATTGCAGGTGGCGTCCAGTCGGTTTATAGAGGTTTTAGAGGCTGCGTGCTGCACCTGGAAACAACACTGAGTGCGGTGAGAGTGAATCAAAACAGTGAGGTTGCAGACCATAAAATGGAAACAATGAGCTGAAGGTTGCTAAAACGCTGCATAAAGCTGAGGGGAGCTGCAGAGTTGAGTGATACTTTTGTATAAGTCATTTAATCCATATTGATTGCTGCTTTAATGCATAAACGAAAAAACGGTTGATGATGATGTGTAAACACTGTACTGTACTGTGAGTTTTCTTTTGACCAACTTATCAGTTCAGCACAGGAAGTGATGGACTGTCACCATGATCGATTAACGTTTAATATGCAGAAGGGATGATTCACTGCTGTAAACTCTATATTTAAAGCTATAATTTATCAAACAAATCCTCCGCCTGACTTCCACTCAGATGTTTAACCCATCCACTCCAAAGTGTTGCAGTGACATCCCTTCACTTAATGCTGTTTCTTATTGGTAGGATGTAGAGTGAAACTGATGGGGATTTGACTCTTAAAGAAGTTGGTATAAGCTTCATAATACAGACTAAAAATAAATCATCTACTGAGACTGAGCTTGTCAAGAGTTCAGAATTTTAGCCAGCGTCTGTCTATTGTGTACATTTGATTGAAAAAGGTGCAGCACTCTCTTCCATGCCTGCTGCAGCCGCCCGCAGAGCAAAACAGCAGCTACATAGCTCGCACGCAGCTGTCAGACTGCTCTCAACTAACTTTGCACTTTTAATAGCTGTGTGACCCAGTTTGAATCCAATTGAATTAAATCTATACACATTTATAGCAGCTCCACTTACAGCTGTAAGTCACTCGAGATTACTCACTAAATGCGTCCCGATGTGGTTTATTCTCTCCTCAACTTTCAAAATAACTTCTTTTGATGGTTCTCCTATCCAGGAACGTGCTCTCAGGCTATATTTTTTTCATGCACACTTTACAGTGGTGGCACCTATCACAGGCAATAACTGCCTCACAAACAAGCATTGTTAGTGGCTGTTGTAAGAAATACATTTGAGCATGTGTTTGTCTTTATTGTGGCATCAATATTTTATGCTTTAGTTTTGTTTTTTTGACCAACTTTTTCATTGTTTAAAACTTATATGTATAAGTGCAGCAAAAAAGAGAATAATACTTATACTAAGCTCCCCATCCTTGCGGGTCCATAATATTAATAAATCTGCATATTTGCCTCTGTACAGAGTCTATACACTTTCATATAACACATTTCCATAAATATATGCACATACACACATAGTGAAAGATGTAGCTCTTTATGGAAGGAAAATGTCAGAAAGCAAAATATACATAATTACTGATGCATAACATTATACTTAACCCTCTAAGATGATAAATAAAATTTTCAGCCATGTCTGTTGCTTCTATTAGTGATGCAGTTTGAATAAAGGCATAGAAATAAAAGCATTTAACCTTTTCTATTTTCTTATATAAACTGCATGTGTTGCTCTGTATGTCAGTGGTTGCAAAGTACTTAAGTAGTAGATTAATTGTTTCAGTCATTTATCAAGCAAAAATGCCAGCTTCTTAAATGTGAGGATTTGCTGCTTTGTTCTGTTTAAGGTCGTTGTAAATTGAATATCTTGCAGATTTGGAAGGTTGGTCGGACGTCACCTCTGACTTTTGGAAATTGTGACATTTTATGTACTTAAAAAGGTCAGTTTATTAAAAAGCAAACACCACATTAACCATTGATGAAAATAAGCGTCAGTTGTTGCATTTGGATGCTTTAAAGTACAAATATTGATCACTGATTATGTATTTGCAGGTCATTGATCAACATGGGAGCAGGAAGTGAACAGAAAGTGTTCACCGGTTTTGGCTGATGACAGAGCACTCAGCGGACAGTAAAGCACTTTGGGAAACCAGTTTCCACCAGATGATGAACATGAATGGAATTACAACAAAGAGATATTTCATCTTTGCTGAATCTTTTGTTGAAATGAGCTGGGGGAAATTACCATTTGTTTGGGTTGTTTTTTTCCTTCATGGTGGCGGGAGGTGCTACATTTTAATATTCTGTATAAATTTGACAGGAATAAATAACTGTGCAAAGCATCCACCCTTGGCCTGTTGCAATTAATTGTTGTGTACTGGGAATTCCTGAAGCGATACTTACAGAGTTGTTACATCATGTGAGCATATGTACAGCCTTGATAAGCAGTGAAGCTCGTGTTGGGCCTCACGAGCTGTTTGTAAGAAAGAAAGGGATGTGCTGTGTTCATATTTGTAGACAGCAAATATTTATAGATAAGCAAGCCTTTAAATTTTGCTGCAGTCTTGTCTGATGTTATTCAAATGAAGCATCCGCCCTGTACTCCTTTGTGTAAACTGATTATGCTTGGAGGAACAGGATAGATAACTTTTTATCAACATCTGCCGAGAGACGAACTGGAGGAACTGATTACATCAGTTAATCCATTTACAATTAAAAGCACTCTTCCACAGCGTAACTCCGATATGTAAAAGAAGCTGCTCCACAAAACTTGTTTAACCTAAACAAGTTGTGTGGATCTGCTTCCATGTGTAAAAAAAAAAAAAAATAAGGCTGCACATTTTTGTCTTTCAAATCAACTTGGAACATTATTCCAGGGGAGTGTTATATCATGTGACAATATGTAAGTCAACTCAAGCATTAAAGCCCACTTTAATCTGAGTCTGTAAAACCAGGAGTGTGTCTCATGAAACAGGGTCAGCGATTAAGCGTTAACTTTAACTCACTGGTTCCAAAACTCTGAATCATGTCCCACATCTGCATCTCTGATTTACGCACTGATTTGAAGTTTTGATTCTTGCCGGATGGAGAGTCAGTCAACCAATCGCAGCTTCTTGGTGGGATCAACAGTGGGGCAGGCATCTTCCTACAAAACTTGCCAACTACCTTGCTTCATTCATGAAAAAATGTATTCTCTGGAATTCCCTGTCGGTATTTTAAGATAAATATGTCTTTACCATCACAAATTTGAGCACCTTTAACAAATACAAAAACTATTTTAGCATTCAACAACAACATTGCATGGCTCTCAGCCTCTAAAGGGCTGTCAGGGGCCTCATGGGAGCATGAGAGCTGTAGTTGAATGCTAACAAGATAATCTGAGATGTGACTTAATTTCATGGCTTTTTGAGGTTGTTCGCCACTGTCATCGAGACCGAGAGGCACGAACGGTCTCTTAGTAATTTGAAAAGTAGATGTATTTGGCGAGGGACTCTCAGTAAGCAGATATAATCTAAATTGAGAATTTAGAGGGGGGCCTAAGGTGGTTTACTGGCGCTGTTATGAGGCTGCGGGGCACTGATCACTGAGAATTCAGTCTAATCAGTGAAGCAGAAACTTGCTAGAAAATATTTTTTTCCTCTACCATATGTACTGCAAGTATAAAAATGGTCTGCTGTGTGATTACTGGTCCTCAGGGGCTACTGGTCACTGTGCTGCTACTTCAAATACTGATGGAGCAGAAGTGGTGAGCTCGTAAGAGCCCTCTGCAATAAAAAAATAAAGATCCTTTGAGTTTTCTCATCCCTAAAACTTCTGAAGTGATGAACAACTCAAAGCCTCTCATCAACATGTTTTCCATTTGCTGTTGCTGTTCTTGCACATGTAGGATTCCCTCAGGAAACTTCCTCCGCCACAGTCCAGAGAGAGGCTTCCCAATAACATCTCAGTCCTTAAAAGTTAATGATGCAAAGCAGAACGCAGTCCTTAAATGCTTTTGAGCGACCCACTTCAGCGTGTGGCCATTAATCTGCAGCACATTCATCCCGATCATGACATGACAGAGGACGAACTCTTGATTAACACATCATGTCCAGCTTCCCGTGCTGTTGATGTGCACAGCTGGCTGACGCTGCGGGACATCATTCTGCTCTTGCTTCCCCAAATCTGGAGCTCTGCTCACTCAGGAAAGCCTGCATCTGCCAAATCAACTCTTTTGACAGCAGTGTCAGAGTGAGTTCGGCCAGCTAAGCAGCATCACAGGAATGTGATCCTGCCCCTGGCTACTGAGCCTCGACCAATATTGGTAACCTTAAACTAAAATGAATCTTTGCAGAGCGCTGGATTATGTTTATCTTCATGGGGATGAAATACAGAGCGGAGGAAGCGAGAGGGAGAGGGCATAGAGAGTTTAGGGAGCAGCAGGAATAACGTGGGTAGACTTGAAATGATGTGCAGGTATACAGCACAGCTCTAGGTCGCACATTGCTGCAGAAAAAGCCAGAATATATCCCATTTTACCTCTTCAATCCCACAATCCATCTTTACAACATAATTTTGTGCAGGCAAACATTGGTCAAACTATTTTAACCAAGACCTCAAGGTTTCAGTATCAAATAGGCTTATGTCATGCTGATTTTGAGGGAGATATATGGATGCACAAGACATCAAGTGTCTTCCATTGGATGTAGAGCTGAAATTATAGAGTAAAAAATGTCTTATTTTTTAAGTGGTTACTTTGGGTATGATTAATCAGCTCTTTAATCTATGTAGAAAATACAAAAATAATAAATTGCTGAGATGACTTTAAACATACATTAGCATGAAAAGTGATCCTCTAATGTTTGAACTTCCAGACTTATCCCTGAATGAGACAGTACCACCTCTGGGGAAACTCATCATGATATGGCAAACACCAGTTGTATATCCATGTATGTTTAGACCTGTCCTCCTTCTACCTTGAAATAACATTCCCAATGACTTGAAGCAGTAGTTTGACCAAGGCTGACTTACTAACAAGGCAAAGTAACAGCAACTGCCCCATAGGTCCACGCTTATTCTGTCACAACTGTGTTCTGCTAATTTAATTGAAAACTTGCTCTGGAAAATGCTCTGCTAAAGTATGATATCAACTCATGAAGACCTTAAAGGGATATTTCAACATTTAGGGAAAAACGCTTTCTTGTCATAGAGTTACAAGAGAAAGTTGATATCACATATCTGTCTGTTAATTAAATGGCTACAGGCCAAGCCTTCATTTAGCATAAAGCTAAGAGGGAGGGAACCAGCTAACCTGACCCTGTCTGTCTGCACCTCTAAAACTCACAAATTAACACATCGTAACTTGTTGTATCTAGACAAAAAGTATTATGTGACCGTTTATAGACCAATTAATCGATTAATTCAGAAAATCACAGATTAATCCATAATGAAAATAATCATTAGTTGCAGCTATGCTGGTGTTGATTATGGGAAATGGACTTGTGTCACCTATAGTCATGCTTTTATTTCTTATGGTAAAATCATGGTTCTTTCTTTGTACTTTTAAATGAAATGAGACATCAAATAAAAAGATTAAAAAAAGACTTGAGCCTTGAATTTGATGATTTCACTCTATATATGTTGTTAAACTTTAAAACTACTTTAGAGAAAATGTAGCGAGAGTTGGGTTCACATTTCAATGTCGAATTAGCACAAGCTTCAAAAAAAGCACTGATAACCACACAACCATAACAAAGGCTTGTTCCAGGTGCTTGTTTATCTGTAAAAGATTCAGACTTTACCTTACAGACACCTCTGAACTGAGTCAGTCTTATACATTCTCTTTCTGTGCTGCTAATGAATAAATTAAGAATGAAATGGAGCTCATTTTAAGCTAAATTGAACCTCATTTGCCCCGAAGCCACTTGAGAGTCCTTCAGCAACCCTCAGCAGTCTGTGGAGCCCAGTTTGGTCTACACTGCCTTATGGTATTAGCTCAATTGCAGCAATTTCCCTCAACATATTGTTCCAACTTTATTGTTTAATTGAGTCACTAATTTCACTGTCTAATTGTGTTATAGCTGGATCCAGCCAGTCTTGCTGGCATAAATATTAGACAAACACTGGCCTTTTGCCAGCAGCATTTTAATACAATGAATAAAATGTGATTGATCATCAGTACAACAATAAACATCTGTTCCACTTGTATGATTTATTCGCAGTGTGACTATCAGGGTTTCTGAGGGAGTGTGTGTGGGCTCCTTATAAACAGTAAAAAAAAAGCCGAAAAAGACACTGAAATAATGAATCCAAGTAAGCAGAAATAAATGATTAGTGCAGGATTTAATCTCTCCTTTAACTCTTTCCCACCCCTCCCTCCCTCTCCCTCTCCTCCCCTCTCTCTCTCTCACTCTCTCTCATTTCCATTCAGTCTGTTGAAGCAGTAGCAGCAGTAGCGGCAGTCTTGTGTGTGGATCTTTGGCTAGAGGACAGCATCAGCAACAGCAGCAGCAGCAGCAGCAGCAGCAGCGGGAGGAGGATACATCCCAGACCAAACTGCCCGAGCAACATGGTCGTTGCGAGAGTCGTCGCTTGCCTGTCCCTGCTGGTGGGCTTCTCGCTCCAGGTGGACGTGAAAAGTGGCAAAGAGGCAGGAAAAGCCGGGAATTTCATGGAAGACGAGCAATGGCTGTCAACCATCTCCCAGTACAGCCGTAAGATCAAACACTGGAATCGCTTCAGAGACGTGAGTTGTGTATTTAGTGTAATTATACGCGCGTGCTGTCTCTCTCTTATCTTGTCTCGTGCTGGTGTTTGAGATGCTGCTGCCTGTGGAGGTAACGCGGGTTGGTTTGTCAGGTGATTTTGCGCACAGTTAACTGTCGCTCTGAAGTGCAGATAAGCGCAACATTAGCAGTTTGTACACCAGAAATACTTTTTTAAAAAAAGAGGAAATGTAACACTGGATAGTGTGTTCAAAGATCGTAGGTTGCCTATGGATGAATGCGCGTGCGTGTGTATGCGTGTGCTCGCGCCTAATGAAATGTTTGATAGATTCACATTTTCTTTCATTTTTTTGTCAAGGTACCTTATCTTCTGATGATATTTCATGAAGTGACAACCCTTGAATTGGCTGAACGCAGGCCACTATTTTTTACAATGTAATGTTATGATTAAATTGACACTTTTATTTACGGACCTTCTTATATGAGAGTGAATAAAACACAACTCAAAGGAAATCTATGACATTAGCCCAAGTCTCAAAAGCCATTTCCAAGCTCCTTCTGGGTAACTGTGATGCTCCAAACAGTGTCTGTATTCACTGATCAATACTCATTGATCTGCCATATTGCACATAAAATGTAGGACTGGCAGTTAGGAGGTTTCCACAGCTTTCAGACTGAAAAGCCACTCAGCAAGACACCAGTTGTGTATCCTCTAAATCACATATATCAAGGGAACAAACAATTCTTATTCTCATGTGGATCTGTTGTCCAGACTGATTTCTGGGCTGCAAAGGGACAGCTTTGTTTATTCTGTTCAGTCATGCCAGGAGGACTATTCACTAGAGATGGGCAATAAATTCATTTATAAAGTTACAGACAGTATGAATCTCCTACTGACCTGAATTTATTCATATCATGATTAGAGCTGAAATGATTAGTCGATAGACAGAATTAATCCGCAACTATTTTCCAAGCAAAAATGTCAAACATTTACAAGTAGCTTCTCGAATGTCAGCTTTTGTTGCTCTTTGTTATTTTTATTGTTTTCTTTCTTAAAATATGACAGTAAATGTTAAGGACATTGATTGACTTAATTACCTGATAAATCAAGGTTATGCCAAATCCTTCAATTCCAGTTCAGCCACAAAGGAGTTCTGCTCATTAATTTGCAGCATTACCCACAATGGCCTGATATTAACACAGATATTCCAGGAACAGCAACCTCAGTGCAAACAGAATACCAAACTGGTAAGCACTGATCCTGGTCTAACAGGGTGAGACATCCTTTTGTCTCTCATGCCATCAAACTGTTCAAATGCTCAGGAATAAACAGCTGATCTTCAGACTTCTGTTTAATGTTGGCGGTGAATGATAGGGATCTTGTTTTAACCACTGGGGATTGGGTGGGATGATGATGGCTGGCGGTCCACCAGGCTTTATGTCATGCTGACACTGCTCTATTTAGTTTGAAGTGAACTTGTGAGGAGCATTTTAGCATGAATTTCTCCTCTAGGACAGTAAAGTTAAAATTGAGCTGAATGTAACTTTTGCCATCTCATACAGATTCTGGTGCCTCGACATAGGGTATTTGCATCGTGTATCATGCCAGTACTGATCTTGCATATCAGATCTCTAATAGCGAAATCTGTACTGGTATACAATTTTCTTTCATCTCATGGCATGTACTGCCATATCACACAAACCCAGCCTAGTCCAAAAGGAGCTATGTGCACTAATGCACAATTCAGTTACCAGTTTATTACCCAGCTAGAACTAATGCAGGTTAATGCAACCGCCCTGCAATAACTCCTCCCTTCATGAAGGTTATAATGTTGTTGCAACTGTTTTAGAGAGATGTTGATTCAACTTTATGGTCATCTTGGAGCCTGATATTGATGGTGCTGTTGAAATGTATTGTGTTATCCTGAGTGTTATTCTGAGGGCAGACTAATCTACCCTCATTGATATAAATGGGGTGATAGATTTTAAATCCCCCAGCCTTGCCTTTGACTTTCTCCTGTCAGCATCCAAAACACAACCAGGGGATATGTAGGTGATGGGGAGAAAGTGAGTATGGTAAAGGGTCAGGGGGTTATGACGCTGGGTGTGCCACATCGATACAGTTGTGATGGCTCTTTGGTACCAAAAGACAGACAACATGGTGTGAATTAGGATTCTGGCCATCTCTGAGGAGGAGTCTGTTAGCAAGGACTCAGATCCAGGCCTCTAGTTTGACAACCGGACAGTTGTTTGATCTCATTGCTGAGAAATATCACCTCAGAGAGATAGTCTTATCAATGTTGGCCAGACAGTAGCTGCATTACCTTTGACCGTGCTTGGTGGCTTGCAGGAATGTGTCCGACAGGCCTGGTTCCTCGGGGACACAGAACAGCCCTGTTACAGAATTTGTAATTGAATTGCAAATTTGTGCTGTCATGGAAATTTGAATATTATCTTTTCTGGTTTTTGGAGTGATTTACATCCCCTGTCTGATTGGATCACTGCTTGACTGACAGGCAGGGGTGAACAATGTGGGACTGGGCCTTTAGCAGCATATTTCGTACATGTTGACCCCCCCCCCCCCACTGTCCTGAGAAGATTGTTCGAGCTCTCTAGAGGTCGGGTATTAGATGTGTCTTCAATCTATCTGTATTTAGCTTCATATGGAATCTAAATTTGACATGTGCAAATGTTGGAGGAGATCTTGACCTCATTACGTGATTAAAACGTAAAAGATATTGAATGGTACAGCATGGTGGCATGTGCTGTCATTAGTGGCCCACAGCTGATCTAGGGTCAAAAATAATGTAGCATTATTACAGTGAATACTCTATGAAGTTACAGTACCGTGTCTATAGTGCTAAATGAAATAATATAAAACTGAGAAATATTAGATTTTTTTTTTTTTTTTTAAATAAATGACTTAATCATTGTCTCCGTTATAGATTTATTTTGGTTGGTTGATTGATTGAGCAATGTACTATCGTTTGATCACTTCTAGTGTCTGACTTTTCTTTTCTTTTTTTTTTACTTTTTACAACTTTGAGTCCCAGTAGATTAATTAGGCTTTTTCTGCAACTGATAATTACAGAAAGTCTCTTAAATGTCAAAGCGAAAACAAATCTGTTGATCAGTTTCATTAAAGTTTTATTAATCTGCTGTGATTCAAATTGGTTGGGGGGTGGATACTTTTTATAACCACTGTGTGTGTGTGTGTGTGTGTGTGTGTGTGTGTGTGTATGTTTGTAGTCGAATGCATATAGTGGTATTTAGTCAAGACCTCTTCAAAGGTTTAGCGTTGGTATTCAGACAGCAAATTCAAGTAATTAAAGTGAAGTAATTACAACAACATGTTGAAGCTTTTTTGGATTGCTTTACAAATGAAACAGATGTACAAACCAGATGGATAAAATATCAAATAACAAACGATCAAATCACATTTCATTTAAAGGGAGGAAAGGGAAATATAGGCAGCCCTGATGTCACCATGTTGATATGGTCTCATCTTCAAGATTTGATATATTGTTGTTTGGTGGGATTAGTGAAAAACGTACAGTAGCCTCATAACACTTACTACTTCTGTCCAGTCAGCAGTGAGGAAGGTAAATACAACCTTTCATTTAATTACATTTTAAACCTCTCACTTATTTGACACTGGGAAATATGTTTATTTGCTTTCTTACCGAGCCAGATGACTCTGATACCTGTAAACTCAATATTGAGCTAGGGCTAGCATAACTTAACATAACGACTGGAAGCAGAAAATATACTTACCAGTATCCCTAAAGCTCACTAATTAACTTGCATTTCATTTGTTTAATCCGTACCCAAACAGAAGTGTAAAAACAATTTGTGTTTTTCACAGATGAGTTACATGCTGTATTTATTTCTTGGAAAGTAGCCATACTTAGCATATACATGTAAGTGGTATCCATTTTGTCATGTAACTCGCCAAAAAAGAAAATAATCTAACTGTGTTCTTTCATTTTTCATTAGCTATTTTATTTCGCCATGTTGCTCTGGTTTGAAAGAATATCACACAAGATGCTCATGAGCAGCTGCGTGGAGTTGATCCATTGTCAGACAAAATGGTTTTGATTGGAGTTCACCAGCATGGGAAATTTTTGTGCCCTTGCTTAGTCCTGCTTGTCCATGTGAATCTCATCAAAAACTCAAAGGCGATTGTTGAAGCTCAGCACATGAGGTGAGTTGATACTGTAGGGAGACAGACAACCAAATAGGCTTGGTTCTGCTCAGACAGGACTATTCTCTGTTGTACCGGCCAGAGGGATGCAGCATCTGAAATGTGACGGGGTTGTATTTGTTTACTAGCTGTCTTGGCAAACAGGTGGTGTGAAAATGGCAAGCAGGAATATTCATTCTGCATTTAAATAAAGCAGGAAAAAAAAAAATCACCATGTGGGCACACACAGTGATGGCGGTTTGATTGATCTGACTGGTGTTTAAATTGGACCACAGTACATACGATTATCCGGCATGGGGACATAATGAGGAAATGTTGAAAGGCAGAACAATAAGACCAACAGCTGCAGAGGCAGGGGGTGTTGGGATAATCCACAGCAGGTTACAGGGTGTTCTACAAGCACCATTATGACTGGCATCAATGTTGAAGCTGTACTGCAAATGTCGATACATCAAATCTCACACACAATTCACCCAGGCCAAGAGGTTACAAATGCACAGTGCCCAAATTAAGTTTAGGTGTAATTAGCAGATTGCATCGTCATGAAGCTGCTGATCAGTTAAAAAACTCGTTTGACTTCCTTTTTTTTTTTTTTTTTTTTTTTTTTTGTACGATCATAAGCTCCACTTTGCATTCTGGTGTGTTTGGGTGGATCTGCTTAGTGGGAACTCAGGCCGCCGCTCATGTGAACAATACTGTGCTGTTCATTCACGGCCAGATTCTCCCATCTCTCTGAGCAGTGCAAAGAGGGAAGTCATTAAGGAGCTGTGGAGCCTTTCAGCCAACCACAGAGGGCTGTTTAAGGTTTGCACCTGC